TTGAGTAGCAGCAAGGGGACAGAGAGAGGGCTGGAGAAACAGAGAGAGATGGGAAGCGTTGGCTGGTAGGGAAGTGCCTTGATGCCTGGAGCCTGCTCACCACACCTTGATGGCACTCATTGCCCATTTATCCCCACCCCCAGCATCCCTCACCACATCTGTCCCTAAAGTCCAGGTCAAACTAGTGTCCTGGGCCTTTCTCACCTCCCTCTGCCCCTGCTCAGCCCACCTCACCTGTTGCTCAAACTATTACAGCGGCTCCCCCAGCCCCCTTACCCTGCCCAGTCTCTCCTGGTAATGCCAACTTCATGCTGCAGCCAGACTGAGCTTTCTAACACCCCCTCATCCTCCAAAGCACCACCCGTAAAATACAATGCAATGTGGGCTTGTTGTGTACCATCCAGTTGATCCTGACCCAGAACGACCCTATAGTTCAGAGTAGAACTGTCCCATAGGGTCTCCAAGGCTGTAAATCTTTACGGGAACAGATGGCCAGGTCTTTACTCCAGAGGAGACACTGGTGGGTTTGAACGGCTGACCTTTCTTTCAGTCAGCAGCTGAGCACTTCCTCATTGTGCCACCAGGACTCCTTAATGTGGACTTAGCTTGTTTCACTTGGGGAGATTTCAGAATGTGGGGCCATGATGAAAGCCCAGCCTCCCTGAGGAGGGGCCTCATTCGTCTTTGGCACCCCCCCACCCCGGGTCCTTAGCTTTGTGCTGGCACATAGTAAAACTAGTTGCCAGAGTTAACTCTGATTTTTCAGAAGTAGATCACCAGGTCTTTCTTCCAAGGTGCCTCTGAGTGGGCTAAACTTCCTATCTTTCACTTGGTAGCCAAACTCACTAACCATTTGCACCACCTAGGGTAGACTGTCAGTAAATGTTTGAGGCTGACAGAGATCCGTGGACCAGGCTCCCTGGCCCCGCCCCTTGTTCTCTTCCGCCCACATTTGGGTCACTGGAGAAAGGAAATCTGATAAACCCATTCACACTTCAGCACTCCTACCTCCCCTCCCTGTAATTTGCATTTGCAATTCAACTCAGAGATAGAGGCTGGTGTCTCAGTTCAACAGCACAGATTTTGTCCACTTGGTTTAACAGATAGCAGGAGCCTTGGCACACACAATGTTAGAGCCGGTTGGAGAAGACTGGAGGGATTTTCTCAGCCCTTTCATTCTGCGGATTTAGAAACTGAGGCCCAGTGCAGGAAAGTCACCTGCCCAAGGTGAGATGGCAGATCTGGGCTCCATCCACATGACACCACATTCCACTCCATCGCTATTTCTCCAATGCCTACCTGTACTCTAACCCAATACCCTGTGTACTAATCTTGCCACAAGAGGTAAGAGAGAGCCAAGCGGTGTAGACTGGAACTCCAGGAGAATAAGATGGGGTGGGGGAGGTGGCAGGCAGAGGAAGGCTGGTGTGAACACCAAAAACCAAACCAAACCAAACTCACCACCATGGAGTGAAGTAGATTGCCCCATCTTCCTTCTGCGGAGTGGCTGCTGGGTTTGAACTGCCAACCTTCTGGTTAGTAGTCAAATGCCTTAGGCACCGTGCAACCAGATCTCCCGGTGTGAACACAGCAAGCACTAAATAGACAGACGCTGCTCTCTAGAGTACTGATATTCTTCCCACTGGGAAAACTTCACCCCCAACCAGGCCGTGACTCTTTGGCCTTTTTTCTGTCCCAAGGCTCCCTCTTGCTAGTAGTCCTTTTTTTTCCCCATCTTTATCCAGATACTCCTCTTCCAGGAAGCCTACCCTGACCTACCCTGACTCTATAATAGAACCCATGGTTTGCATGTTATTCCCGTGCCCTGTTTCCCTGTCTCTTTCTACATTCCTGGTTGGATCCCTTCTCCAATGGAAGAGGTGACATAAAGTCAACTGAGGGATGAGGTGGGGCTGTGGATGATAACGTTCCTGAAACCAGTGGAGTTCAGATCTGTGATAGGAACTTGGGACTTCTCTTTCTGCATCTCTCCAGCCCAGACCCTTCCAGTCTTAGTGTCTGCCTCCACCCTCATTCCAGCCCCCAGATCTGTCTGACACTCCCCCACATTCCTCAGCTCAAGCCCTCCTCCTACCAGTCACCCCTGCTCCCACCCCCACATTCTCTCTGGATACTCTGTTAGAGTGGAAAAACCAGCCCTCATCCCTTTCCTGCTCCCAGGCCCGGGATCGGACATGCTGGTCATTCCTGTTTGCGGTGGCCAAAGAGATAACACTTGGCATGGTGTCAGTCTGTCATCCCAGGGCTCTCAGAGCTATTTCAGATGGGACCCTTGCTCACCGTGGGTGTCTACCCTGGACCCCTGCCCCCTGGCCCTGGCTGGCTCCTCTTCTCCAGGAAGGAAGCGGATGACAAGCAGCCAGCCAAAAGGAGGGGCATACATTACCGTTCAACTTCCATCCAGGTTACCTTCCTGCTTCTTGACCCCAGACATCTATCTCCTAGACCACGAGAAAGGCTGGGTGGCTCTAAGTGTCACAGCTCGGGAACAAATGCTGTCTGAAGGGCAGACAGGGATGAGTGTCCTCTCCCCAAACACTACACAGAAAGCTGCTATCGCAGCTGTTTTTGTTTAGGTGTGTCTGGCTCTCAGACCAACAGCTGTCTAGAGTTTGTCCCTTAAAGATACAGCTGGGATCAGCAGCTTCCTTCCCCATCTCTATCTCCCACAAGCTGCGTGACCTTGGCCATCTAGGTAACCTACTGAGCCTCCATTTCCTCATAAGTTAAATGAGGATGATAATCCTGACCCCCCAACAATGCCAGGAGGATGGAATGAAAGTCAGAATATGAAATTATCATAAACTGTAAAATAAGACTCTGGACTCTTCATCTAATTCTTAATTCTTTATTCTTTTCCTTAAAGAGAGCCTCCAAGTTGTACAAGCTTCAGGTATTACCAAACCTGGATCTGTCCTGAGTATTGTACAAATGTTAATTATTAGCAGAAGTGCTTAAGAAGGGCTCCAGGGTCAGTTAACATAGAATTAGTACCCTAGCTCTATGGCTTCACCAAGTTACTTAACCTCCCACAAGTTCAGTTTCCTCATCTTTAAAATGGGTAACATGTTCCCTTCATGTTATCAGGAGGGACCAGTCCCTGAAGAAGGACATCATGTTGCGAAAACGATGAAGACTCTCAATGAGATGGATTGAGACAGTGGCTGCCACAACGGACTCAAACATAGCACCAACTGTGAGGCTGGTGCAGGACTGGGCAGTGTTTCATTCTGATGCACACAGGGTCCCTGTGAGAAGGAACTGACTTGATAGAGCTCTGGTGGTGTAATGGATAAGGCATTTGGCTGCTAAACAGAAGGTCAGCAGTTCAAACCCACCAGCTGCTCTGTGGAAGAAAGATGGGCCAACTCAATGGCAGTGAGTTTGGTTTGGTTTTTGGTTAACCACAACAATAACAGAAAAATGAAGATAACACCTCCAAGATTATTGTGAAGATTTAATTTAATGTTTGTAAAGCACTTAGCATAGTTCCTACTGTATAACTGCTTCACACATGGTATGTTTCTCTTTATTATCATAGTAAGATTAGGGCTAGAAGCTGAACTTCAAGGGAATGGACACTGAGGGCTGGACTTCTGGACCAGAATAAGAAAACATCTTTAGTCAAGAGAAAAGAAGGCTCAGAGAAAGGTGGGTCTTTGTGCTGCTATAAAGGAAATCTGAGTGAGACTTAAAGCACATAGCGACCTACTGAAGTTCCCTTCCAGTTTGATTTTTGTGCGGATAACTAGACCTTTGGGCCCCGCCCACTTCATCCACCCGGCACCACCCACTACACACCTGTGGTGGCTCGGTGTCCTCACTCAGTTTCCAAACGTTCAGCCCAAGGCTGGATGGGAGGAGGGGACCCTTGGGACTCTGCTGGGCTGGGAGTAAGAAATGGATACAATCTGGGCCAGGCTCCACCGCCATGCAGTGCGATCTAAGAAGGAAAAGGAACTTCATTTCCACACGGACAGGTTTATAAGGGCTACCGGAGGACGCAACCTTTTGGGAAAGATGCTGTCTGGTTGCCAATTATAATCAGCAACTAGCGATGTTTGTTTATTTACCATTGCTAAATATTTGTCTGGCATAGCTGGGGGACCGTTCTCGGTTGGATCAGGGTGGAGGGGTGGAGATAAATAAATCTCCATAAGGACCACCCAGAGGTTTGGTGAAAGGACAACGCCCAGAGACCGCGAGCCACCTCTTAGGGACTCACAGCGCCGCGGAAGACAGTCCAGCATTCCAGGCAGGCGCGCGCGTAGGTCGGTTCCAAGACGCGCCAACGCCGGGGCTCTCCAACGGGCCAGGTCGAGGTGGCTGCTACTGGGACGGCCTTTTCAGCAGCAGTAGCAGACGCAGCAAAAAGGCTGGACAAATCCCAAGCCCAACCCCGCCCGTCCAATTCATCTTGCTTGGGAGGCGACGCTTCCTGGGAGCAGCAAGAGGCGGGGAGGGGAAAACCAAGCCTTTAAGGGCTCCCGCACAGGTGTTTGGGGGAGTGGGCGGAGTCGCGGAAATGAGGATGAGGAGGGAGGGGGGTTGCTGCCCCTTTAAGAGGCGGTGGCCGAGCCGGGACCTTTTCTCTTTCCCCGGAAGGAAAGCAGATCTGGGCTGGGCGCGCAAGGTGGGGAGGTGCGAGGCTGGGCGTGGGGAGGCGGGGCGCGCGACGGGGGAGACCCCTCCCTCCCGCCCTTCTTGCGGTCGACCCGTCCGCGGGCCCAGATCTGCCGCCGAGCCAGCATTGAAGACGACAGCGCGGCCAAGGGGGCGCGGCTGGGACGAGCTGGGGGGCCGGGAGCCCGGGGCGAGAGGCTGTGACCCGGTGTGGGAAGGAAGCGAGAGACTAGACCCGCGGGCGGAGCAGGGGGACCCGGGAGCGCTGACCCTGAACAGACGTAAGACTGACCAGTGCAGAGGATAAGAAACTAATCAGCACCGCAGGGCGCAACGACGCAGAGGGCCCGAGTGTCCCAAGCTGCGCCGGCAGCAGGTGGAACAGGTCCTCCCTCGCAGCTCCGCGCTCTCACGCGCTCTCGCCTGGCCCCGGTCTCCCGCTCGCAGCCATGGGGCCCGGCTCCCGCCCCGCGCCTCCAGTCCCGCGCCCGTTGCTCTGCGCGCTTGCCTTGATGGTGGCCGCCGGCGGCCGCGTCGCCTCCGCCTTCAACCTGGACACCCGATTCCTGGTGGTGAAGGAGGCCGGGAACCCGGGCAGCCTCTTCGGTTACTCTGTCGCCCTCCATCGGCAAACGGAGCGGCAACAGCGCTACCTGTAAGTGAGGTTGGCGGGGGCTGGCGGGAGCATGTGTGTGTGATAGGGTGTGGATCTGGAGTAGAGTCGGAGTCTTGGGCCCGAGGATTTCCAGGCCTCCTTGGGAACGGGGTATTAAGGGGTGGAGTCCGGAGTAACCCTCTGGCTTCTGGGGTTGGGCGAGAAACTGAGGGATTAGGTATGGAGTGGGGGCAGTCATCATGTACAAGGGCTGACTGACTGGTCAGAAGGTACCTAGGCGGAGCCTCTCTGGCCTTTAGATCTCTCCTGAGAGTGGAAGTAGGGTCGTGGTCGCTGAGCCCCTTCCCATTCTGTGAACCGAGCACCGAGCATTAGCTGCTTCTTTCCAGAGCTGGGAGCTGGGGGCAAACTGCAAAGGAACACCTAGTGGGAACTTCTCTCTCCACACACATAACACCTAGAAAGAGTCTATGGGCGTATACATTCAAACCTGCCCCCTTCCCTCCTGATACCTCGAATTGAGTCTGTGGCCACACCCTCTGCAGAGCCAGACTAGACAGCCTCCTCCACTGCCTGGCGGTTGGAAGGTGAGGTGATGGGTGAGTCTGGGCCGTTGGAACTGTCAAAGCCCTCAAGCTCACGCTGACCTCTTGAGGTTGTGAGGAGTAGTGGAGAGGAGGGGCTGCCTCAACTTCTGCTCTCTGTCCTGCTTCCTCCCCAGCAGTGGCCGCTGTCCCCACTGGACATCTTCCCCACATTCCACAGATTCATGTTGAATCTTCAACCCTGAGTGTGTTTGTTTGGGTTTGAAGAGGGAAATGGTGTTTTTCTCTTTCTTCTGGTCTCCTTCCCCAACAGCTGCAAGAAGAAGAGGGAGGAGCTAGGCATAGGGAAGGGAGGAGAAGGAGATAACATCCAGCTGCTCAGGTCTCCATTCCCACCACACAGACACACATGCATACATGTGCACACATGGGCACACATGCACACACATATATACATGCATGCCTAGAGGGACTTGTCTAGGACTCGGAGATTTCTCTGCTGAGGTTGGCAATTGAGGGACAAGGGCAGCTAGAGGAAGTGAGGATGCCCAGAGAAGGACAGTGGTTAGGATAGGACAGGCAGTCTTCACCCAACTCTTTGGGCTGGGTGAGCTGGCAGGAGTCTGCCCCTTCCTCACCTCTGACCTCTCTGAGCGAGAGGATGTGGTAAGATCAAGGGTGCCTTGCAATCCCTCCCAGCTCTGCCTAGAGCCTGCAGAACTTGAGGAACTTGGAAAGTTCAAAGTCCAAGCTCTGCCGAGCTTTGGCCACTGCCCTGTGAGTCCAGCCCCTGCTCAGCCTGCCTACCTGGACTTAGCCTTAACTCCACCTGACTTCTGCTGAAGCAGTGGCCACCACACCCTTCCCAGCTTGGCCCCGGTAGCTGTAGTCTGGCCTTGGAGACCCTAAGTGACCATCAGCATAAGTTTCTATGTTGGTGCTCTCTCTATTCCAGATCAGAAAAATATTTTATTTGACTTAATGCTGAATCTACATGATATAAGGAAACATCGTGTAAAGAAATCAGACTGGGAAGCACAAAATCAGACTATAAATGATTCTATACGTACCCCCTTTGCTATGTGACCTTGAGCAAGATATTTCCCTTCTCTGGGCCAATTTTCCCCAAAGAGGTGTTGCACCTGGATCCATATGCTCCTTCCTACGTCTTTTGTCCTGTTAGAGGCAACTTGGCATCATGGATAGAGAAGAGGCTTGGGAGTCCCACTGCCAGTGACCTGTCTGGGGTTTGTCACTAATACCTAAGCCTCATCTGTGTGTGTGTGTGCATGTGTGTGTGAGTGAGATGGTGGAGGAACAGCCCACCTTTATGGGGTGATAGCAGATGTCACCATAACTTTTCAGAAGTGGATTCCCAGGCCTTCCTTCTGAAGCACTTCTGGTTGTGTTTGAACCACCAACCTTTCACTTAATAGCCCAGCACTTAACTATTCCTCATGGGTGATGGTGTTCTTGTGTATGCCATCAAGTTGATTTTAACTCATAGCAACTCTATGTGACAGAGAACTGCCCCATGGGGTTTTCTAGGCTGTAATCTTTATAAGAACAATTTACCAGGTCTTTCTCCTGTGGAGCCTCTGGGTGGATTTGAACACCAACTTTTCAGTCAGTAGCTGAGGTGATAGTGTAGTTTAATGAGATAATGTGTGTAAGAGGCTTTTAATAGCCCACATCTCCTATGTCAAGGCCAAGACCCTAATGCACTCCCATCACTCATGGACCCCACCAAGGTGACTGAGCAGAGGAGTTCTCCTTTTTTTCCTGGAGGTCTAGAGAGAGGAGCTAGACCTGCCAAAAGCCCAGAAGATTCTAAAGCTGATAGGTTGATGCCTTCTGAACCTCTGAGAGGCAGGCAGTTCTAGGTAGAGTTCTGAGTACTCCCTTGGGTAACCTCAATGTTTCCCAGGAGTAGTTCTGTATCTTGGCCCATCTCACTGAATTCTGTCCCTTAGCCCTTTGGGAGAGCCAGCTGGGCATAGCTGGACTTAGCTGCAGTCAGCTGTGTAGCCAGATGTGAACAGCTGCTTGAGTATAAGTCAAACTGCAGCCTCATCTTCTGTTAGTCTCAAGATTCCTTGGGAAAAGGGGGAGAGCTCAGGGTCCTGAGCAGGCTTGCAGTTGGGGCTAATAGGTTTTCAGGAGATGCAGGGACCTCTGAAAATATATGCAAAATTATGCATGTTGGTGCATTCTTCTGGTTGTGGTGGGAACGCAATTTCCCTCATATTCTCTCAGGAGGCCTTGTTCCAGAAATGTTTGAAACCTCATGTGGCCCCTCTCCGCTACTCTGTCTCCTTCACCTCTGAACTGGGGCTCCCTGACCATGACACAAGAGACTCACCCCAATCCAGGCCCCATCTCCCAGTCTCTGGGCGTGGAGCAGGGCCAAGGACTGAGATGCAGCGAGCTTCTTGGGGCGAGGGATGGGGACCTCTGGGGAATGAGAGGGACTGTTCCTCAGAGAAGTAGTTAGTGACTCCCTATAAGCAGTTGCTCTGGGAATCCAGGTGTTCTGGTTTGGCCTGACCTCTTAGGCTATGTGGGATACTTCTGAGCCGTTTCTCCCTCTCATCCCTGCCTGGAAGTGAGTGTGTCTGGAAAGCCTGGGGGCAGGGGTGGCTGCGGCTCCTGGAAGATGAGGTCATGCCTGAGGTAGACAGGAGCCAGGCTTATGTGCTGTGCTCTCCCAAAACATGTTTCCCTGGGCAGGGCGAGACCTGGCATCCTCTGAGGCTCGTGCCGTGCAGAAATGGGCCCAGCAGCTTTGGCTGCGGGCAGAAGGGCTTTATATGTGGCATCCTTTCTCTCTAACCAGTCCAGGCCAAGGGCCTCTCAATTGGGTAGGAGGTTGGGGAACCTTATCTTGTAGGAAAAAAAGTAAAAGGAGTTTGGTCAGAACTCTTCTGCAAAGGCAGAAGAGAGAGCTCCCCTGCTGAAGAGAGATTGAGGTTAGATGATAAGAACTTTCTTTCTTTTTTTTTTTCAAAAAGAAAACCACACTCGTTGCCATCAAGTTGATTCTGACTCAAAGTAATGACCCTCTTTGGGTTTCTGAAATAGATTGCCCCATCTTCCTTCTGTGGAGCAGCTGGTGGGTTTGAACTGCCAAACTTCTGGTTAGCAGTCAAATGCCTTAGGCACCACACCACCAGAGCTCCAAGAGGAAGTTCCTAAAGGGTCAAATATAGGGAGGAAAAAAGTACTAAAAATCCAGGGAGAGGGAAAAGAAATGGAAAAAACATCCTTGTTCTGTTTTATTGGAGGTTTGGGCCAAGACCTTTCTCCTGTCTTTTCTCATTCCCTCACTCCCTTAGCTTGTTGAGGGCTGAGTCACCCCTGGAGAGAGGGGGCTGGTTGGGCAGTATAAGGAGGTATAGTGGGAGGACCAAAAGACTGCAGTTTCTGCTACCATAGGAGCAGCCTCTGGGGAGATGGCTAATTTGGGAAGCAGGATTGGCACCGAGCTGGGATCCAGGCATAGGCGAGCTGCCCCCTCCTCCCTGGGGCTCAGGGCTGGAGCAGGCCCAGGTGGGAGGAGAACTTGGGAGGGGACTAGGGACCTGGGGAGGAAGGTATGGGGGGACCATTGGCCTGAATGCTGGGTCCTCTTTGCACCCCCCCCACACACACACCTTTTCTTAAGCCAAGTTAACAGAAAGTCTTCCCATTAGAACCCCCAGGCACCTCCCTGAGGGGAGGCAAGAAGTCTGGGAAATTGAATCTTAATAGGCTGTTTCTCTGAGCATTGCCCACCAGTGTCCCTCTGGGAAGCCTTCTCGTTAGGGCAAGCTGACCTGGTGCCCACAGCTCTCCTGGGCCCCAGTCCCCAGCCTTCTCCAATTCTACTACATTTTACTGGGCTGTTTCATTAGCTTTGAACTGCCCTGGGAGAAGTGATGGTGCAGGGCTGAGCAGCCCAGAGCTCTGGGGGCTCCCCAGGGACCAGGACGGGCTGTCTGGCTGGAGCCAAAGGAGAGGGTAAAGAGGTAGCTGTTTGGAAGCTCTTGAGAGGTCCTTTCACCCATTCCTTTGCCTCCAGGGTCCCTCCTTGATACCACCCAGACCAGCTTGACGTAGGAGAGGGATAATCTTTTCTTTTTTCCCAGATCCAGGCAAAGCCTCCCTCCGTTTAGCGTCCCTCCTTACTGCTGCTGGGAGGATGGGCTCAGTGGTGGTCTGGGAGTCAATTTCTGGATTCTGATCTGAACCAGACCCGACAGCAGGTAGCAGAAGTGTTTATTTGCATATTAATCTACATAGTATTTGCATGTAAGTAAGGTCCCTCTAAGGCACTCTAACCAGAAGGCTGGCGGTTCAAACCCACCAGCCACTCCTCGGAAGGAAGATGGAGCAATCTACTTCTGTAATGGTATCACTTTGGAAACCCAAGGAGGGGTTGCTATGAGTTGGGTCTGACTCGAGCGCACATCTCAACAACAACAAAGGCACTCTAGTGGCAAGTGTTTAAAGCAGTCAGTTGTTAACCAAAAGGTCACCCATTTGACCATTCCAACCCACCAGTCACTCCACTCTGAGGGAGAAGGATGAGTCAGTCTGCTTCCTAAAAGATCTACAGCCTTGAAAATCCTATAGGGCAGCTATGAAGGAGCTCTGGTGGTGTAGTGCCTAAGGAAGTTGAAACCCACCAGCCACTCCGAGGAAAGAAGATGGGGCATTCTACTTCCATAAAGATTTACTGCTTCAGAAACCCAATGGAGGGTCTCTGTGAGTCAGAATCAACTCTATGGCAGTGGGTTTGTTTTTGGCTCTTTTTTGGTTCCTCTGCCCTATAGGGTGGGTATGAGTTGGAATGGACTCCATGTCAGTGGATTTGGTTTGGTTTTAAGGTCCCTCTCATCCTCTAAATTCTCTAGCCTCCAGCCACACACACCTGGCTGTGGCTGGAGGGAGCTGGACCTGACACTGTCTCCACAGCCGCCTTCCCCCATCCGTGCGCAGTCCTCTGGCTGTAGACCCATTGGATGCTGGGCTGGGAGCCAGAGGGCCTTAAAGGGCCTCTGAGCGGGCCAAGTAGGAGCTAAAAATACTCTATGGGGGGTGGGGGGCTCCCTGTGGGAAGGGAAGGGCCTAGGATATGGGGCTGGAACTTGGGCCCTGGCCCTGCTGCACCCTCCATCAGCAGGCACAAAGCTGAGGAAGGGCTAGGGAAGGGCATAGGTGATAAGGGCATTTCTCTCAGCCCACTTCCCATTCACATCCAGCTCTGCCTGCTCAGTGCCCCAGGAGGCTGAGGCACAGGGGCTCAGCCTTCCCCTCCTGCCTGAACAACTTGGGCAGGGCAGCAGCAGCAGCAGCAGCAGCCGCAGGGGCAGACACTTCATTGCATCAAATGCCCTGGAATGCAATCCGGGCTCCCCAGGAGCCCCCTCAGCCACTGAGGCTAGACCCCATCAAGCCAGCTCCTGCCAAATCTGAGCACACTGCTGTCCCCCTTCTCCCTCAAATGAGTCTAGTGGCTAATGTCCACCAGCCCCACCTTAGTGATTGTGAAAGGCTGACTTAGGTCCCATCCTCTGCTCCCTGGAAACAACTGAACTAGTCTGTTCTTTTTCTCTGCTCTGGGTTTCCTAACCTGGTGGGCAGAGATCCCTGGAAGGAGTCCAAGGGCTATGCTAGGGCTAGTCCCTGTGCCATAAGAAACCAGAACCACAGTGCTCGCACTGGCCATGGCTTCATAGACCCAGAGTCCTTGCACAGAATGAACCCATTTGTTCTCCAAACAACCCTGGAGATTGTGCGACAGCTGCTGTCCCTGTTTTACAGATGAGGCACTCAAGGCTAAAGAGGAAAGGAGACCACTCCTTGATGCAGAACAAATCCTAGAACCAGGTGTTGTTTTCCTATAGGCCTGGTGCTTCCTTCTCTCATGTGTCAGGAGTGCCAGTGGGTGGATATCCATGGGTGGCCAGGCACTCTCCTCAGCCCAGACAAAGGGTGACTAACGGGGCCTGGCTTCCTTGCTGGTCCCGACCCAGCCTCCCTGACTGGCACTCCTAACACTGCCCTCCTTGCAGAAGCTGTACCCTGCTCCCAGGAACACTTCCCCAGGGTGAGGACTGAGCCTCAGATGTGAGGTGCAGACAGAGGCCCCTCTCTCTTCCCAGCACCCCCAGGCAGTGCATTCCTGACATCCATTGGGCGGAGGCACCCCAGGCCCCAGCATGTCCAGGCCCTGCCCTGCTCACTCCCAGCAACCCTCACTCACAGGGCCCAGGCGGGAGCTGCAGGCAGGCTGTGGCACAGCACTGCCACGACTCTGGCAGGAGGCCTTGAGGCCAGGTTTTGAGCTGGAAGTCTCAGGATGATGGCATTACTGGGCCCGAGTGGGGAGAGACCTGGGTTAGGTCCACCAGGATAGAGGTGGGAGGGCAGGGGAAGGTCCTAGAAGAACCCTGAGAGGCTGCAGAGAGAGAGCAGGGATGGTGGGTAAATCTAGATTCTCCAACTATGGGTGGACAGTATTTGGAGTGCATGTTAAGTATGCATGTCCTGGATGATGGGAAAATTTGGGAGTAGATAAGGATGATGGTTGAGCACCATGATGAACATAACTGATGTCATTGAACTATATGTTTGAAGACGATTGAAATGGCAATGTTTTGCTACATATATATTTACTACAATTAAAAAAAAAAAAAACTTAGGGGAAAAAAAAAGGTCCCAGGACTCCACCCCAGCTCCCATCCATGGACTGAGGAATTTGCCTTTTTAACAAATATCTGATAACAAGGATGTCTGATTTGGGTGGTCCACGCACTGTCCTTTGAGATATAATTTCAAAGCTTATGCCCTGCTTCCCCCCACCCCAGTCACCACTCTAGGATAGGATAAGTTGTTAGGGCAATGGCTTCCTGCTGGGGCCAGAGTCCTCAGCACCCTTATGGGGACTTGTAGTCCGTGTCCCTAAAAATAGGCTCTGGGCAGACTAGAGGGAAGATGGTAGTCCTTGCCCAGCTCCACCCTCATGCCCAGCCCCTGGGAATTCTGCCTTGGGGCCACATTGTCCAAAGTGTCGGGTGCCCACCCTGTACCTTGTGGTCCTGTCTCCAGGTAGGGGAGGAGGGCTGGTGCCCACCCAGATCACTTAGGAGCTCAGGTGTCCTCAATCTAAGTTTCAAATGGCTTAGCAAGGAAGGACTCAGACATAGGATAACTCACCCTACCCCCTCACAAAGTTCTCCCCTCGGGCCTCCCTGGCATTTGAACCCTGTGCCAAAATTCCTCCAGTCTTACTCTCTTCCGATCTACCTTCATCTTAGAGGCCAAAGCATTCCTTTCCAAACACAAATCTGACCTTGTCACTCTCTTGCTTAAAATTCCTCCGTGATTCCCACAAGGCCCTTCCCGCCCAGCCTCTGTCCCTCTCTGAGGTTCCTGGCTACAGCTATCTGCAGGGCCTTGCAGATCTCTGAATCACCCTGCTTCCTCATGCTTCCTGGCCCTTGCACGTGCTATACCTTTTCCCAAAGCGCCCTTTCTCCCCTTCTTCACCTGGTGGACCCTAGTCCTCTTCCTCAGTCTGGGGCCATCTCCTCTGGGGCCTCTCTGGTTGCTCCCCTTTCATGGGGCATGTCTTGTGGTTGTCTGTTTCTTTGCCTGCCTTCCCCTACACTGGCCACTCTATGAAGGCAGGAATTGGGGTCCAGTCATCCCTACACTTCCAGAGCCTGCCACAGAGCCAGGCACAGAGCAGGTGCTCGTAAACACACTATGAACAGCAGTTGTTTGAAAGGGGCCATGCAGAGACTGAGCCCAGCCTCCATGCCTCCTCCCCCCAGGCTCCTGGCTGGTGCCCCCCGAGACCTTGCTGTGGCTGATGGCTACACCAACCGGACCGGTGCTGTATACCTGTGCCCACTCACTGCCCTCAAGGATGACTGTGAGCGGATGGACATCAAGGAGAAAAGTGAGGGGAAGGGCAGGGACCAGGGCTGGGTCAGGTAGAGGAGGCAGCACAGAGAAAAGGACCAGAAGAATGATCAGGCTGGCTTGTGCAGCTTCTAGTCACTTCTTGTCCATCTGGGAAGAGGGAGCCTGAGTGGAAAGTGGAACCCAGTGGGATTTATGGGATTTGTGGAGTCAAACAAATGATGGCCTGGGAAAGGAGGTGAGGAGGGCTGCCCTGGTGGAACAGAGGGTCCAAGAGGGACCAGCCCCTGCACCGTGGAGGCTCTGGGCACTGGGAACATGGGGCGAGGTGCCCTGGATCATGATTCCTTCTGTGCACAGGTGACCCTGATCATCACATCATTGAGGACATGTGGCTTGGGGTGACTGTGGCCAGCCAGGGCCCTGCAGGCAGAGTCCTGGTAAGTGGGCACTAATTGCTGGCTCCCCGCTTCCACCCCCAGCCCTCTTCCTCATGTCCCAGCACCTGGAGAGGGAAGCAGAGGGCTGGAGAGGGGTCCTTCAGTTGTGTGCTGGAGCCTTGACGAGTGCCCCTTTCTGTGGCCCTGTCTGTCCTTGCGTGGTCTTCGGCTGTACAACTCAACAGGCGTGTGTCCCTTGCTCTCTGAGCTCCTGGGAGTTGTAGGGGGGCAGGGTTCTGGCATCCTCCCAGGGCGGGTACAGCCTGGGTCCTGTCTGAATCACCCACTTCCTCCCCACCCCCACCCTGGGTGCTCACCCATCGTGGGAACGAACTAAGGGAACTGCAAGGAGGAAAGGGCAGAGAGGGCCTCGGGCACTCAGCCCTGGCCGGCCCTCCTTCCTGGGAGGCGGGCAAGCGGGTGGGTGGACGGAAGAAACACAGCCCTGCTGACCGATGCTCACCCGGGTCTGCTTTATGGCCACTCCCAGCTGTCAGTTGTCACCTCCTGCCTGTATTCTTCAGGACAGGCCCCTGCACTCTCAATTTGAGTTGTAGAAGGACAATTGTTTGTTCATTTCTTTGATATAAAACTTATATACAGCAAAATGCAGATTTTGTTTCAGTGAGTATTGACAAATACATACATACTTGGGTAAGCAACACCCATTAAAGATATAGCATATTACATTACTCTAGAATGTTCTCTTGTGCTCCCTTCTAGTCAGTCACCCATCCCAGTAGCCACTGTGTTGGGATCTCTGTCACCTTTGGGTGCTGTTTTAAGATCTGGGGTTACATTGGTTCACCAATGCCTTTTGAAGACCCCTGTATGGGGTATGCCATTTGAGACTGGTTCTAGATCCTGGGTTCTTAAGCAGTTGTCTGCCCACCCATCCATCCATTCATTGAAGAAATGTTTAATGAGTACCTACTGTGTGAAGGAGGTCTGGTGGTACAGTGCCAAAGGCATTTGACTGCTAACCAGAAGGTTGGCGGTTCAAACACATCAGCCACTCCACAGAAGGAAGATGAGGCAATCTACTTCCGTAAAGATTTACCACCTTGGAATCCCAATGGGAATCACTTAAGTCTGAATTGACTCTATGGCAGTGGGTTTGAGTTTTTTCTTACCTACTGTGTGCCAAGCACTGTGCTGGCTCTGGAGACTCAGAAGTGGCTCTGGGAAGTATCACAGTCAGATGAAGACGCAAAAACAAGTAAACAAGAACGAAGCTTGGTTCTGGGATTTGCCTGACTGACCCCAGCCTGTTTTAAAGGAGCACTGGTGGACAGCAGTTAAGCGTTTGGCTGCTAACCCATATGTTGGAACCCACCAGTTGCTCTGAGGGAGAAAAGAACTGGTGATCTGCTCCTGTGAAGATTATGGCTGGGGAACCACATGGGGCAGTTGTACTCTGCCCATAGAGTTAATGTGAGTCAGAGCTGACTCAATGGCACACAACCACCACAGTCAGGTTACAAAACTCTCTGTCCCTTGGTTTCTTTACCTGTAAAGACAACAGTCGCCATGGAGTTGATTCCGACTCATGGTGACCCATCCTGTGGATGTGAGAATAGAGCTGAGCTCTATAGGGTTATCAATGGCTAATTTTTTAGAATCAGCTGCTGTCTGGTTACCTAGTGCTGCTCTGACAGGAATACACCACAAATGGGATGGCCTTAAACAGGAGTTTATTCTTACAATTTGGAAGCTTTAAGTCCAAGTTCAAAGTGCCAGGCTCTAGGGGCTGGGTGAAAGCCAGATTCAGCTCTGCCCCCTGCTCCCAGCCCACTGGAGCTAGAGGCGTTTTTTTCACTCAGACAGCTGCTGGCTGCTGAGGCTGAGAAGCCCCAAGGTTAACAAGTAAAAAGGCACAGTCCCGATGTTACCAAACCACACGGCAGGCCATTAACTTAAGTCCATTCTAAGTCCCAAGGTCGGCAGAGCATAGCAGGCTGCTGAGCAACGACACAGCTACATGCAGGGTCCAAGCATGTCATAGGCTAGAGACCATTCCCAAAGGCTTTTCCTTATATACAGGAAGCAGACCACATACCCAAAGGCATGGGTATGTGATAGATCCCACCATGGAGGTGATTGCCAGTCTCATCATGGGGAATAACTACTACCAGCTGCCCAGCCAGTCAACCAGGCCCAGCCAAGTTAACACACAAACATAACCACCACAGCTGCTAAAACCTAAGTGTTGGTGGTTTGAACCCACCCAGTGGCTCCATGGAAGAAAGGCCTGGAAAACTGCTTCCATAAAGATGGCAGCCAAGAAAACTCTGTGGGGCAGTTCTGCTCTATAATATGTGGGGTTGCCACAAATCGGGGTCAACTCAAAGACAGCTAACAGCCACAACAGACCACCAGCTCTTTCTTCTGAGATGACCCTGGGTGGACTCGAACCTCCAGTCTTCCAGTTGGCAGCTGAGTGTGTTTGTACCACGCAGGGACCCCTCCCCCAGCAGAGGGGAAATGGTGGTTTAGTGGTAGAATCCTCCTTCCTTGTGAGAGACCCAGGTTCGTTTCCCAGACAGTGTACCTCATTGCCTCCCAGCTGATCATGGGGATGGCTCAGGACCGTGAATCAGGTACCAACTCAACTACAGCTAACGCAGCAACAGATGTGGGATATTAAGATGGGGGATGTTCTAAGCTCTCTGTGCCTTGGTCTCCTTATCTGTAAAATGGGAAAATAATTGTCCCCACTCCAAAGAGTTGTTAGGAGGCTTAAGGGTCAATATGTGAAAAGAGCTGAGAATTGTATATGGTAAACTCACTGCCATCGAGTCAATTCTGACTCATAGTGACCCTTTAGGGCAGAGTAGAACTACCCCGTAGGGTTTGCAAGACTGTAAATCTTTACAGAAGCAGACTGCCTAATTTTTCTCCCATGGAGCTGCTGGTGGGTTGGAATCTGAACTTTTGGCTACCAGCTGAATTCTCTTAACCACTGCACCACCAGAGCTCCTTGTACATGGTGAGCATTCAGTAAATGTTAGCTGCTGTGACTATTATTATTGATTACTATTATTATTACTTTAACAATGATGTTTTCATTGAGAGGAAAGAATCTTCAAGGGACAGAGAAACAAGTTCCCTGGTCTGCTCTGTAACTAGCTCCTTTTAGCCTCGTGAACCTATACCCTCACCCGTTACCAAGATGTCTAGGCCACTCTCACATCCTTTTACTTCCCAAAAAGTGTTCCCAACCTTCAGAGCAGATTTCTGAAGTAGTGCCTAAGGCATTTGACTGCTAACCAGAAGGCTGGTGGTTCAAACCCATGAGCCACTCCTTGGAAAGAAGACTGGGCGATCTACTTCCATAAAGATACCGCCTTGGAAACCCAAGACAGGGTCTCTATGAGTCAGAACCAACTCAACAGCACTGAGTTTGGTTTTTGGATTGGAAGAAAGCCATACAGGCATCACTGTGGGACGAAAGAGAAGCCAGGAGACCTCTTCCAACTCCTGTCCCACAAAGCTGGAGGTGCACAGGGCAAAGGAAACAGTTGGCCCTGGGGTCCCTATTGTAGGCTTAGGCTGTGTGTGTTGGGGGTCCCCAGGTCTGCGCCCACCGCTACACCCAGGTGCTGTGGTCGGGGACGGATGACCAGCGGCGCATGGTGGGCAAGTGCTACGTGCGGGGCAATGACCTTGAGCTGGACTCCAGTGATGACTGGCAGACCTACCACAACGAGATGTGCAACAGCAACACCGACTACCTGGAGACGGGCATGTGCCAGCTGGGCACCAGTGGTGGCTTCACCCAGAGCACTGTGTACTTCGGGGCGCCCGGTGCCTACAACTGGAAAGGTGGGGGTCGTGGTGGAGGGGAGAAGGAACAGAGACAACCTAGCTGCTGGGCAGCTGACTCAGACCCTCTATACTAAGCGCAGAAGATGTGGGCCCTCTTGCCAATATCAAAACCACCACTATTGCTACTATTGTAAAGCACCTACTCTGTGCCAGGGCTTTACACCTATTATCTTAATTAATCTTTATAGTAATGTTATGAGGCAAGTATTATTATACCCATTTTGCAGAAAAGAAAATTGAGCCTTTAATTGAATAAATAGCAGTACGCTATGAAACTTAACATTTCAGTTCCATAAAATGAACCTTTAATTAAGTAAATAACAGTAAATTATGAAACCAGAATTGAAACTCAGATCCAGACAACTCCAGTTTAACCATTTTAAAATGTTTCATGAAAGTAGAACATGTTCCTAGTACAGCAATGTATTATTTCCAGGGTTGCCATAATAAATTACCACAAACCGAGTGGCTTAAAACAACAGAATTTTATTCTCCCACAGTTCAGGCGGCCGGAAGTCCCATATCAAGGTATCAGCAGGCCATGCTCTCTCCAAAGGCCTGAGGGGAAGATCTGTTCCAGGCCTGTCTCCTAGTTTCTGCTGGTTGCAGGCAGTCCTTGGTGCTCCTTGGCTTATAGCTGCATCATTCTAAACTCTGCCTCTTGTCACATGGCCTTCTGTGTGTCTCTTCTGAGTCCAAATCTCCTTCTCCTTTCTCTTATGAAGACACTAGTCGTTGGATTAGGCCTCACCCTAATCCAGTATGACCACATCTTCACTTGAGCACATCTGCAAAGACCCGATTTCCAAATAAGGTCATATTTTGAGGTTCCAGGTGGACATGAGTTTTGGAGGGACACTATTTAACCCAATGCATCAAGTAAATAGTACAGTAGGATTTGGTACCATAAAAAGTATTCCCCTCTTCTGCCCTTCTCCCTAGTTCCATTTCTCAGTGGATCTTTCCAGATTTATTTTAGAATATATAGGTGGTTGTTTTGTTTTTGTTTTAACACAAAGAAAATCACACTAAGCATAAAAAATCAAACCAAACTCACTGCTGTCGAGTCGGATCCAATTCATAGCTACCGCTCCTTGGATTTCTGAGGCGATATCACTACAGAAGTAGATTGCCCAATCTTCCTTCCAAGGAGTGGCTGGTGGGTTTGAACTGCCAGCCTTCTGGTTAGCAGTCAAGTGCGTTAGGCACTACGCTGCCAGAGCTCCCACACTGAGCATAGTGCTCTGCTATTTTCTCTTCTCAATTACCAGTAAATTCTGGGCACTTTTTCATGTCAGTGCATATAGGGTGATCTCTTTATGGCTCCAAGTATTTCCCCATATCAAAACTAGCACACTACACAGCACCTTGCAGGTGTCTGATGGATCACAGTCCCTTTATCTATTTGTCTTTCTCTGGCACCACCCAGGTTGTAGTAACAGGGATGTACCCTTATTGTTAACCAGAAGGCTGGGGGTTCAAACCCACCAGCCACTCCTCGGAAGGAAGGTTGGGCAATCTACTTCCATAGTGATACTGCCTTGGCAACCCAAGGAGCGGTAGCTATGAGTCGGGTACGACTCGATGGCACATAACAACAACCCTTATTGTTATAGAATCAACCAGCAGAGGGAACCCCCAAATCTCCTTTTGACCAACAGGTAGTCTGGGGCATGGTCACAGCCCTGGGTTTACAAACATCTGAGGCACAGCCAACCCTGACCCCTTCCTCTGGTCCTGTCTCCCACCCCCCTAGTCTTTTAGTACCTTGAGTGGGCCACAGGCACCCTCCAGCAGCAGACCCAGGAGCAGGGGCTAGGTAGGCAGCTCAAAAGAGTTTGGGAGCAGGACCAAAAGAAGAATGATGTGCAGTCTGACCTCAGTGTCTAGACAGTTGGGGGAAAACACTATCTAGTGGGGAAAACACCAGGCCAGGAGCCTAAATAACTGGATTCCAGTCATATCTTTACAACTAGCTCCCCATGGGACTATGGGCAAGTCAGTTTCCCTCCCTGAGGCTCAGTTTTCTCATCTGCAAAATGGGAGTCATTATTCTATCTCATAAAATTATTAAAGAAATTATTTGCAAATGGAAGGGCTTAGTATTTATCTGGTTTGGGGGGCTTGACAAGGTCGAGAAAAGGGGTGGTGACTGTGCCTCCCTACTCCCCCACATCTTTGTGAAGGAAACAGCTATATGATTCAGCGGAAGGACTGGGATTTATCAGAGTACAGTTACAAGGACCCAGAAGACCAAGGAAACCTCTATATTGGTGAGTCTGGTTGGATTGGTCCATGCGTGATAGTCGGACAAGGGTCAGTCCCTGGCCGACTGGGCTTCTTGCCTTCTGTGTTTGGTGCAAGAGTGAGACCAGTGGATGGGGAGTGATGAGGAACATTCATGTTAACTAGCACACATTGATTGAGTACCATCTATCTGTATACTAGGCCCTGTTCTCAGTACCCAGGATGCAAAATCCCTCCCCACACAGAGCTCACAGTGCTGTATGCAGGACTCAGGGCTGAGATGGGGTGCCACTACTGGGCATCCAAGATCTAGTTATTTTGCTCAATATGGACTAGAGAAATAGAGGAAATTGGGAGGGAAATCCTGTCGTGGATGGGGGTTTGGGGTGGGTTCCAGAGCAGAAGGGGACAAAATTTACTGGGTCTTTGATTGACTACCTTCCCCACATCCCAGGGTACACAGTGCAGGTGGGCAGTGCTATCCTGCACCCGACGGACATCACCATCGTGACGGGTGCCCCACGGCACCGACATATGGGTGCTGTCTTCTTGCTGAGCCAGGAGGCAGGTGGAGACCTGCGGAGGAGGCAGGTGCTGGAGGGCACGCAGGTGGGCGCCTACTTTGGCAGCGCCATTGCCCTGGCAGACCTGAACAATGATGGGTGAGAGTCTGGGGAGGCCCTCTAGGGCCAGGGAGAAAGGTGGGGTGGGGGTCCTCACCCAATCCTGGGCAGGGAAATAGAAGTTTGCAATTGTGCGTTTCGTTTACTGGCTGTTTGCAGGGATTAGCAAGTCAACTTTGCATGTTGATTTGCCATCAGACTTTATGGGATTCTAGGTATTTGCGTGACACCTGCATTTGCTTGTTTGTGCCTGTCATCTGTATGACTCTAATGGATATGGGCTGTTTGGTTGTGATCTGTACCTACATGGCTTCTCCATGGCATGTATATTTTATGCGGTGGGTCCTCTTGGCATTTCTGTGTCCTACCCATGATCTGCCCATGACCAGAGGTGACATTGGCACAGCTCTATACCTGTTATACAAGAGTTAAGCTCCATAGTGGGGCCAACCTTGCAATTCCACCCCCCTTCCTTCTCTCCTGTACAGGTGGCAGGACCTCCTGGTGGGTGCTCCCTACTACTTTGAGCGTAAAGAAGAGGTAGAGGGTGCCATCTATGTCTTCATGAACCAGGCAGGCACCTCCTTCCCTACCCAGCCTTCCCTCCTCCTTCATGGCCCCAGTCGCTCTGCCTTCGGCTTTTCCGTGGCCAGCATTGGTGATATCAACCAGGATGGCTTCCAGGGTATGAGCCAGCACCCCCTACCCCAGCGTACCCACTGACCGAGCACAGCTGTGTGCCATGCTTACATGGCCCACAGAGAACACAGGATGGGGTCCTGGCCACAGGAGCCCACAGATCCACAGATGGACTGGAGAAAGGATATGCAGAAGCAACTCAGTAGCCCTGAAGGAGTGGACAAGGGCTGGCATCAAAGACTGGGTTGAGTTTGCACAAGAGAGGGACAGCAGGGTGCCAGATGAGTGTGGGATACATTGCTAGTGTGCCTACATCTAGTGGATGTGGAATGTTCCCATCGAGATGAAGCTGGAGAGGTAATGGGGGTATGGAGATGGAGGCTTTGAATGCCAAGTGGAAGCACTGGGCTTTATATTTGGGTGATGGTGGGGAGGTCCAATAAAGGTTTTGGTGCCTTGAAAGATGATTCTTAGAGGAAAGTATGGGATGGGTGGCAGAGGAACAAGGCTGGAGACATTAAGATCAAAAAAGGAAGTACATTAGATGGTATAATAAGGGCTGGGGCAAGTTAGGAGCCCTTGACACAGAGAATGTCACAGTACTCTATAGGACTTGGGGATCAGTAGGACCTGGAGTGTCAGGGAGGGGGACAGATCAAGGGGTTGAGCCTGGTTGCTATGGGAGTACTGGTTTATCTGCACATCTAGTGGATGTGGAATGTTCTCTGACAACTTCAACTTCCCAGAACACAGCTGAGAACCAAAGGAAGGCAGAGGAGCCTCTGAGGAGCCAAAATAGGTTCCAGAAAGTTTATTCAACAACACCCGTGCACTTCTCAATAGAAGAGTCATTTGGGTTTTACTCAGGACCTACTTACTCTTCCCTTACAAGCTAACAAACTTGGCTTTCTGGTTACATGGGTGTTTTCAGATCCAAAGCAGCAAACTAAGAGTTCAGTAAACTTTAAGAAGAAAAATAAAACATCTTGAGTTTACTTGTAGAAATAATCATTAGAAGAGAAAAATGTCTGACAGTTTAACAAGTGTCCATTATAGTGTTGTGATTAAAACTCCAGGCCCTGGTGTTAGATATTTATGGCCTCAAATACTCTTCTCTTAACCTCTTCCTTACTCATTAGCTGTATGACTTTGGGTTTTCTGAGTCTGTTTCCTCATATTTAAATTGGAGACAATAGTACGTACCCCATGGCACTCTTATGAGGATTAAATGAAATGAGTGCTTGATTATCACCTGGCAGAGTCATAGTGGGGAACACCTCCTTTCCTGAGCCTGCTGGTAAACAGGACTTTATTACTGCAAAAGCCAGGGATGTCTGGATGGAGCCTAGTGGGGGAGATTGAAGGTACCATGATGAAACACCTGGCCAGTGGTCAAGAGTCTGGGGTTTAGACCTGGCTGTGACCTTGTGACCGTGGTTAATCACTTATCCCCTGTGGACCTCTTTATCACCTATAAAAGGAGGCAGTTAGGCTCCACATGGTTCCAGTTTTAGTCCTGTACCACAGAGCTCTGCTCCTGCCCTGTTGCTCTGAGCACTCTCTGGCCAGAGGAGGTCAATGCCATGCTGGGCTCTCTGGCTGGAGCACTGGGTTGGGGAGGTATGGGCCCAGGATGACCTTGACCTCTTCTCTTCCCTAGACATTGCTGTGGGAGCCCCGTTTGAGGGCTTGGGCAAAGTATACATCTACCACAGCAGCTCCAGTGGGCTCCTTAGACAGCCCCAGCAGGTATGGATGGGATGGGTGCCCTGCCACTACCCACGGAAGTGGGCCTGCCTGTCTTCCCCGGTGCTCCCCTTCCCTCACTTCTCAGGCCGCACCCCAGAGCCTTGAAGCACCACTGTCCCCTGCCCCCAGGTAATCCATGGAGAGAATTTGGGGCTTCCTGGCTTGACCACCTTTGGCTACTCCCTGAGTGGGCGGATGGACGTGGATGAGAACTTCTACCCAGACCTGCTGGTGGGCACCCTGTCGGACCGCATCGTGCTGCTGCGGTGAGCTTGGGGCTGGTGGACAGGGGCCTGTTTCTCCTCCAACTCCATCTGCAAGGACCCCCCTCTTCGTCCATGGGAACTTGAGTTCCAACTCTGGCCTGGGATGAGGCAGCCAGAAGACACTGATAGCTGATTGGCTTCTACTGTTTGTGCAGAGCCCGGCCCGTCATCAACATCCTCCACAAGACCTTGGTGGCCAGACCATCTGTGTTGGACCCTGCGCTTTGCACAGCCACTTCCTGGTGAGACTTCCAGCCCTACTCTTCCTACGCAGCCTCATGTATGGGGTGTAAACACAAGCTCCCAAACACCACTCCTAACAACTCCTGAGGAAGCATTGCTCTACCTACCTGACCTCAGTGAAAAGCAGAATTTCTGGGAGGAGGTAATGGGTGAAGTGGGGCTGTTGAGCATAGTGATTGGGAGTGTGAGCTCTGGATGGCATGGCTGAAATCCCAGCTGTGCCAGGGCAGCAGCAGGGCTGGGCTCTGGAGAGTGAGGCCTGGAGGAACAGGGAAAAGGAGGCACTTAGAAGTATGGATGTGGGAAAGGAGGGTGGAACACTTGGGGCAAATTATTCATCTCTCTGAGTCTGAGTCTCAGATTCCTCACCTATAAAATAGAGTTAATAATAGTAACCAACTCACAGGGCTTTGGGGATAATTAAATGAGATCATGTACATAAATAAATAAATAAATAAACCTCTTAGCATAGTGCCTTGTATTCTGTAAGTGCTCAAAAAGTGTTAGTTGCTAAGATGGAGATAATGATAGTGGTGTCCCCTTTGGGTGAATGAGAAAGCAAAGGAAGACAGAGTAGGAAAGCAAAGGGGGAGGGGTTGTGGAAGGAGATCTGGACTGAGAATCAGAAGACCCAGGTTCAAGACTGGGCTTGGTAACTAACTAACGTGATTTCAGGCAAGTCTTTCTGCTCTCTGGGTCTCAGTTTCTCCACAGGTGAAGGGACGGGGCTGGATCATGACTTCTAACCCTGTTTTCTACAGTTCTAATAACTAAAAGGGCAGCAGTTCAAACCCACCAACTGCTCCACAAGAGAAAGATGTGGCAGTCTGGTTCCATTAAGATTACAGCCTTGGAAACCCTATGGGGCAGTTCTACTCTGTCCTATAGGGTCACTATGAGTCAGAATCAACTTGATGACAGTGGATTTAGTTTTTTTGATTTAATGGGAGCAGAGAAGGATGGAGTCTAGGGGGCATGGACCAGCTTTGTGGACTTGCCAGTTTTAACCCACCTTTCCCCTGATGGGTCCTGGTTTCCATTTGCCTAGTCCAAGGGGCTGAGGACAAGGACCTGGATACGGGTCCTCCCATGACCAGGCCCTCTGTATACCCCTCCAAAAGTGTGCAGGTGGAACTGTGCTTTGCTTACAACCAGAGTGCTGGGAACCCCAACTACAGGCGAAACATCAGTGAGTACTGGGGTGCGGGGTGGTGGGGAGGGGGCATTGTCACCTGACAACTTGCTGACTCCCGGACCCACCTGTAGCCCTAGCCTACACTCTGGAAGCAGACCGAGACCGCCGCCCACCCCGGCTCCGCTTTGCTGGAAGCCAGTCAGCTGTCTTCAATGGCTTCTTCTTCATGCCTGAGATGCACTGCCAGACACTAGAGCTGCTCCTGATGGTGAGGGAGGGACAGGAGCCAGGCAGGGGCTCCACCATCCCCCAGGGAGGTGGACAGTCCTCCAGGTGAAGAATGAGGGACTGGAGTCCCCAAGAGACAGAGGTGGGAAGTTGGCTTGGAAGACCATAGGCCTACCCAACTATGGTAGAGGAGAGAGAGAGACCCTGGGGTGGGGCTATAGGGCTTATCACTTTTCAGACAAGTGAGGAGTAGGGGATACTTGACTCCATTCACCTCTGTGGTGAGGGGGTGTTTCCCAAGTGGGAGCAGGCTCAGCCCCTCTCTGGGGCATCAGGGTGGAAGGGGAAAGCTCAATCCAGGAACCCCAGGGTAAAAGGAGGCTTAGCCTCCCTGGCAGATCTTTGGGGAGGAGCAGCCCCGTCTCCTCTCTGGGGTGTTGTAGGTGATGGAAACTCACCGTGACGTCAGCCTAGAGGGGAGTCAGCCAAACTAGGGATTGTTCGGAGTGGAGGCCCTCAGCCCCTCCCTGGGGGATCAGGGGTCTGGGTATTATGAGGATTAAACTTCGTGGGGAGTGAGTGCAGGCGGTGCTCAGCGCGCCCTCCCTCCCCAGGACAATGTTCGAGACAAACTCCGCCCCATCATCATCTCCATGAACTACTCTTTACACTTGCGGATGCCCGAGCGCCCTCGTCTGGGGCTGCGGTCCCTGGACGCCTACCCGGTCCTCAACCAGGCACAAGCTCTGGAGAACCACACCGAGGTGGGTGGGTTCGCTAGAAAGGCGAAGGCCCAAAGGGGCTGTGGGAAGACAGGGCTCTGTGCGTGCTACAGCCCCTCATGCCTCCGACCGTCCCCAGGTCCAGTTCCAGAAGGAGTGCGGCCCGGACAACAAGTGCGAGAGCAACTTGGAGATGCAGGCGGCTTTTGTAACCGAGCAGACGCAACAGCTGAAAAGGTAGACTCTGGGCCTCGCTGATTGGTCAGAGGCGGAGCAGGTCCTCAGTAGCCAGCCTGAGGCTTCATTAGCCAAAGTGGTTTAAGGGACCGGGCCCTATTGGTCCAGGAGATCAAGGGGGCAGGGTGAGGGGGGTGGGGTCTCACTGGCCAGGGGCGGGGCCTCAAAAGAGGCACTCTGAGGGCAGAAGTTTTAATTGGCCAGGTAGGATGTATTAGCTGCCCTTCACTGGCCAGAAAAAAACCCTCCTTCTCGAGGTGAGACTTGAGGGAAGGACTTTGCTGCCCAAAAAGGGGCTTTCTAAACCAAACAGACCCCAGGGGCAAAATGCTTGGTTGATCTGGGGAGGACCCATGGGATGGGGCTTCTGACTTAGTCTAGGGTTCCTCCCCCCAACCCAGGTTCCAGTACCGCGGAGACACCCAGAAACTTCTCCTGAGCATCAATGTGACCAATTTCCCTAGCCCCAAGCGGGCTGGGGAGGATGCCCACGAGGCGCTGCTCACTGTGGAGATGACTCCAGCCTTGCTGCTGTCCTCAGTGCGGCCCGTGAGTGCGTTCCCTTGCAGGGCTAGGAGCTTGACCAGCTTCTTGGGGCATTTACATCTTTATATATTAGGGGCTCTGGTAGCATAGTGCCTAAGGCACTTGACAGCTAACCAGAAGGCTGGCGGTTCAAACCCACCAGCCACTCCTCTGAAGGAAGATGGGGCAATCTACTTCTGTAGTGATACTGCCTCGGGAACCCAAGGAGGGGTCACTATGAGTCGGGTCTGACTCCATGGCACATAAGAACAACAACAATATGAGTATCATTTACATATGTCTTCATTTGCACTGTGCTCACCTTCTCTCCATAATCCTACCCCCTCCCCACCTCCCCTAGGGCCTGCATAGACTCTACTGCTTGTTGTTGTTGTTGTTATGTGCCGTCGAGTCGGCCCTGACTCATAGCGACCCCTCCTTGGGTTTCCGAGGCAGTATCACTACGGAAGTAGGATTGCCCAACCTTCCTTCAGGGGAGTGGCTGGTGGGTTTGAACCGCCAGCCGTCTGGTTAGTAGGCAAGTGTCTTAGCCACTATGCTACATACAGGGTTTACCTCCCACTGGGGCAGGACCTGGCAAGCCCTGACAGGACCCTGACCTTACTTTTCTTATTTTCTCAGCCTGGGACCTGTCAGGCCAACGACACCATCATCCTCTGTGAGCTGGGGAACCCCTTCAAAAGAAACCAAAGGGTGAGCACCAGCCAGACCCTCCCAGCTCTCAAGGGTCCCAGGCTGCTACTCTGATGAGCTCCAAATCCACCTTGCTGCTGCCTGCCTGCTTGCCTGAGAGCAGCCAGAGTAGGGAGGAGGAGCTGTAGCAGAGGATGGGGAGAGGCTCAGAGATGGGGGTGGGGAGTGGGGGGCACTAGGGAGCCTGAAGTGAGGAGCCACATTTTGCTAAGCACCTACTGTGTGCCAGACCCTGAGTTCAACACGTTGTCTCTTTTCTATGATATCATTCTCAGGACTGCTGAAGGCAGTAGATGCTGTTTTACAGAAGAGAAAACACAGGCTTAGTGATGTGCCCAAATACAAATTACAAGTAGCACAGAAGTCACCTGATGGAGAAAAGAGAGTCAGAAGGAGGCAGAGATGAGGCTAAAAGAGTGAAAGTGCAGGTGGGGAGGTGAAGACTCCATGCACAAAATGGCAGATAGGGAAGGCCAAGGAACCAACGCCCAGCCTAGTGTCCAGCTCCCCTCCACTCTGGCATCACCCCTGCCAGACCCCGAATACTCCTCTTTTCCTCCTCTGACCCTCATGGTAGATGGAGCTGGTCATCACCTTCCAGGTCTTCAAGGTGAAACTGCACACAAAGGAAATCCTGGCACAGCTGCAGCTCTCCACGTGAGTGACCTCCTTAGGCCAGGCTGGGTCCAGGCTGAGATGTCCCGGGGCCTTCCTAAGCCCCAGCTCCTGCGTCAGCTGAAATGTCTCCTCCCCTCCTCCTTGTATCCCTTCACCAGGTCCAGTCACCAAGACAACCTGCAGGCGATAACCCTCCCTCTGCTGGTAGACTACACGCTCCAGGCCTCACTCAGCATGTGAGTCTCGCTCTGCCTCACCACCCCCCTCCCCAGCCTCCTGTCTTCTTTACCCTTAGAGTGTCTCCCAAGCTCCTCTGACACCTTCCCCAGAGGCCTCCCCTTCCCTGGCTCATCCTTTCCCTTGATGACAATAGTCACTGTCCTCATGTTTATCATTACTGTACCTGGAAAGCAGGTAGAAGGAGAAGTGTCAGCAACCCTGGGGCTAAGACTAATGATTTCTTGAGAGATCTTTGTGCTCAGGGTTTTACATACATCATCTCATTGACGCCTCACAACAGCTTCATGTGATGTAGCAACTGTTATTAACCCCATATCACAGGTGAGGAAACTGAGGCTCAGAGAGAATGAAGAACTTGCTGGAAGCCACACAGCTAGTGAGCGGAAGAGCTGGGCTTACACCGGGCCTGCCTCATGTCAGAGGAGCTATAGTTAACCAGCCTCCTTCCTTGGTGCCCACGCTCTCTATCACCCTGGGCCCCCCATCCTCCATGACTCCTAGATCTTTCTTACCCCTAGGGTGAATCACCGACTGCAAAGTTTTTTTGGGGGGACCGTGATGGGTGAGGCTGCCATGAAAACTGTGGAGGATGTGGGAAGCCCTCTCAAGTATGAGTTCCAGGTAAGGAGACATTCGGTTCCTAGGAAGGGGTGGTCCCAGTCTTAGGACTGGAAACTTCTGGCAAGGGTAATGAGGGGGGGGTGTCTCTTTTTAGTTCTGGAGCCTGAGGGTGAGAGGGTTGGGGGTTGGTGAGCAGAGGTGATTTTGCAGGTGACGTGCTCAAGACGTCCCTTGTATACACAGGTGGGCCCAGTTAAAGAGGGGCTGGCAGCCCTAGGGACCTTGGTCCTGGGACTGGAGTGGCCCTACGAAGTCGCCAATGGCAAGTGGCTGCTGTATCCTACAGAGATCACCGTCCACGGCAATGGGTCCTGGCACTGCCAGCCACCGGGAGACCTTGTCAATCCTCTCAACCTCACTTTCTCTGTAAGGAAACCATCAGGGTACTTTCATTTGCATCTCATTTGCATTGCATCTCATTTGCATTGCATCTCATTTGCATGATGTAGGGCAAACAGGCCAGTGTCTTCCCCTAATATAACCTTGGGAGCCTGACTCTTCCCCTGCCCTGACCTCTTCTCCCCTCCCCTGTTCCCACTCCTTCCTTGGCTCTGCTCAGGACCTGGGGGATGGACCACCATCTTCACAGCACAAGCAGGAGCAGCAGCTGTACCTCAGGAGAGGCCAGGGCCACCTGCCTGCCACTCTGGCTGCTGCCCAAAAAGTCAAGTCTGAGACCCTGCTGGTGAGTGGCCAGGGCAGGGTGGGGAAGATTGTGCCCATCCCATCACAGGGCATGTGGGCACCAAAGAGCACACAAGGCAAAGTGCTGCTTACCAAGAGACCCCCGTCAGATGAGGTGATGTAAGCAGAGGGAGGAGACCCAGCTCCAGCCCTCCGAGGGTATGCTACTCTGATGGCGGAGGTATGGCCCTTGCCTTTGGGGAGCATTCAATGCCAGTGGACCAGAGGAGGAGACGCTGGCTCTGTTCCTAAGAGCCCAGCCTGTTGGGGGTGATACAGCTAGGTTCTCAAAACCTCGGGCATTAGGGCTGGGGAATGGGGAGAGGCAGAAGGAGGAGCAGAGCACAGAAAGGGGTGGATGGTACAAGGCACTCTGTGTAGAAGGGAGGGAGGAGCAGGCCTGCGAGGCAAGTAGAGGCCTGGCTGGGTGGAGTGGTGGGACATGTTATCCTAGGTAAGGAGCTAGCTTGAATGAGGCTCTGTGTGGGAGAGAGGCTGCTGAGGAGGTGTCGAGGATTGGTCTCTGTTTGCCCGAGCCAGGAGCAAATTTCATGTTATCTGTGTCCCTGGCATCTATATGTGCTTGGCCCAAAGCATATGTCTTAAATGCATATATGTGTGTTGGAGCAGGGGCGGGGGGCGAGTAGTCTATGTGAGTGAAGGAAGGGGTGAGGTCAGCTAGCCCCTTCGGATTAGCCATGAGTGGGAGCAAAGCATGAAAAATCTGGAGCCCCAGACTCTGTCATGCCTGTGTGTTCCCTGCCCACCTTAGACCTGTGCCAATGGTCGCGCCCGCTGTGTGTGGCTGGAGTGCCCCATTCCTGATGCCCCCGTCATCACCAACGTGACTGTGCAGGCCCGAGTGTGGAACAGCACCTTCATTGAGGTCAGTGTCTGGATCTGGGGTTCTCTACTGACACCCAGCCAATAGGGAGAGCAACAGGGAGAAGGTGAAGCCAGGGTCACAGCAGGGTCACCTGGAGTGCCCACTTCCCCCTCTTATCTCTGCATGTCGCATCCTATTCAGCCTCCCAGGGCTCCCCTTGATGCTTCACCCTCAGTGAAGCCTTCTCTGACTTCTTCAGCTAAAATGATCTCTCCTCCTCTGGACACCCACAGAACTTTCTCTGAAGCTCCTTATGGCATTTTCACCCTGGGTTGTAGTTATTGACATGCCAGCCTTCCCACACTAGACCAGGGTCACCGAACCTTTGTCTGTGAAGGACCAGATAATAAATATTTTCAGTTTTCTGGGCCATGTGGTCTCTGTCACAGCTATTTCAGCTCTGCCCTTGTAGCATGAAAGCCTCCAGACAATATGTATAAGAATGGGCATGACTGTGTGCCACCAAACTTTCAAAAGCAGGTGGTGGGCCAGAGTTAGCCCAGAGGCCTGACCTAGACTATGACCTTCATTGTCTCTACTGTCCCTGCATCCAGCACAAGATCTGATGTTCAAATGAATGAACAAATGAGTTAATGATGTGTGCTTGTGTATGGAGGAGAGGTCTGGCTATCAGCACCTTTGGCATGTCGTTTAAGGATGTGGCCTGGTGGAAGGGCACCCCAGGGTTCTCAGGGCCAGGAGGGAGAGCCAGAGGTGCATTAGTGGCTTCTTTTGACTTGCTTGTGCTTCCCACAGGATTACAGAGACTTTGACCGAGTTAGTGTACATGGTTGGGCCACCTTATTTCTCCGAACCAGTGTCCCGACCATTAACATGGAGAACAAGACCATACGGGTAAGTGAGCTTGCTAACAAGGACAGCAGTCTCTGGCCAGGGCACTGTGACACACTCAGTCTTGGCAGCATAGTAGAATCATCTGGAGAACTTCTGGTGTTTGTACCACACCCTACACCAAGTAATCCTGAATTGCTGAGGGTAGGACCCCAGTATTGGTATATTTAAAAGTTCCCCAGATAAAGACAGATTGGAGGATAGGCAGGTACAGATGTATACATAGTGAGAATAAATCTATACATGTGTGTAAATACAAATACACAGGCAGATATATTTACTGAAGACTCAAATGCAGACATTCCTCAGACATAAGTAAACACCTTCTGTGTTAGACTGGGTTCTCTAGAAAACAAAACCAGTAAAGCTTATATATAGAGAAAGAGAAATTTATCTTAGGAAGACGGCTCACACACTTATAGAAGCTGGCAAGTCCAAAGTTCTTGGATCAAACGTCAAGCTGGAGGCTTTTCCACATCAAGCTGGAGGCTTTTCCCGACTCTTGCAGCCACAGGGGCTGAGGAGCTCAAGGTTGGCAGGCAGTATACTGGCTGATTTGTCCAATGAATGACGAATCCAAGATCTTCAGGCTGAATGGTGGATTGTTTGTTCACAGACAGTTGTAGGCAGCACAACAGAATCCTGATCCACAGGAGAGTGTCTCTTTTCCCAGGATGTCCATAAATATACTGGAAGCAGGCCACACCCCTAGGGAAACTCCCTTTCAATGGATTGGCTGCTCATAACATACACATCTGATCCCATCATGGGAATAACCACATCACAACTGCTTCAACCACACAGGATTGTGGTCCAGCCAAGTTGACACACAGCTCCAACTATCACACCTTTCAACACTGGTTTTCTGGGTTTGAAGGCTTAGAACCATAGTCTTATGGGACAACTCAGTCAATTGGCATAACATAGTCCATAAATGCCATGATGTGCATTCTAGTGAAGAGAGTAGCATTGGGGGGTCTTAAAAGCTTGCAAGCAGCTATATCTAAGCCTCAACTCACCAGGAGCAAAACAGTCAGAGGGCAACCACTAGCTCAGAGAACAAGCAAGTCTACAAGAGTGACGGCCTCATCTACCTTGAGACCAGAAGAACTAGATGGTGCCCAGCTGCCGTCATTGACCATTCTGACTGGAGCCACGATAGTTGGTCCCAGATAAAATGGGAAAGAAATATGGAGCAGAACTCAAATTCTTACTTTAAAAAAAAAAAAAAAAAACTGGAGGAAGAGAGAACAGAGGACCCCCTGCAACCATCACCCTGTGACACTCTTTAAACCTAGAAGTGAGCCTATCCCCTGAGATCACCTTTTTAACGCAATAGCAGAGTGACACACAAAATAAATGGTACTACCCATAAGATTGCAGCCCTTCTGAAAATCCAACAGTAGGAGACCAAAAGGTCAACAATTGCTCAAAAGCAGAGATGAGAAGATGAAGGGACAAGGAAATTAGAGTACTGGGGAGGAGACAGAGCACAACTGAAGATGATGGCCACACACTGTTTAAATATGACTAGTGTCGCTGAGCAATATGTATGGAAACTGTCAAATAGGAACCTAGCTTGCTATATAGACTTTGACCAAAACCTCAATAAAATACTATTTTTTAAAAATTCCCCAGATAATTCTAATGTACAGCCAGGTTTGGGAGCTGTTGCTTTCACTGACTTGAGACATACAACATCTCCATAAAGAGCAGGGCTGAGATTATTGTATCTATATTATGGGTGAAGAAACTGAGGCCCAGAAAAATTGAGAGACCTGGCCAAAGTGACACAGCTTGTGAGGTGCTGGAACCTGGGGCCACCTGACTGGCTCACCCATTGTCACATCCACTATATATATGTAAGCTTCTGGCCACAAAAAATAAAGAAACAGATAATACAGTAAAATAGAGAGTCTACCATGGGAACACTTAAGAGTCGGATCCAGCTCGACAACAGTGAGGTTTTTTTTTTTTTTTTTTAATCATGGGAACATGGTCATTATTTACAAATGATGTAATTATCTACGTAGCAAAAAAGTGAAGCAACCAAAAATCTATTAGACCCAGTAAGAAAATTCAGAAAATTCAGGAGCTCGAAACAGGATAATAAATACCAAAGCTTTCAAAAATGCTGACAATAACTAGTCAAGTATACAGCACAGTAACCCCCGAGACTGTGTCCCTTAGATAGCCTTTAAGCTTGGAACTGACTTCTCCTCTGGGGCTCAACTTCCAGCCAAAAGATAGGCTTATATGGTGAACAGTAACACAAGGAGGTGCACACTCCTTAAAACAACCAACCATACAAGATCAAAAGGGCAGCATTTGCCCAGAGATAAAACTGAGAAGGCAGGAAGGTCCGGACAGGAAAGAAAGACAAAGGAAAATGGTAGCCATAGGGAGGAAATGGGAAGAGTGCTGTTATGTTGTGGGGATTGCAATCAGTTTCACAAAACAAAATGTGTATGAATTGCTGAATAGAAAACCAATTTCACCCAATCAATATGCAATAAAAACTTTACTACTGGATGGAAAAAGTCAGTGATACCAAATCAAGTCTTCCCAAATTATCTCACTCCCAGTGGGATTCTGGGAAACTTAAAAAAGTTCCCAGACTCGATTCTGAATTACACCTGGAAGAATAAATGTGACAATATTGCTAATAAGTTGTTGGGGAAATTATTATGAGTGGAGCATAGGAGATGTGTGGCAGATTGGTTAAATATATTATGGTAAATTTCCTACAATAAATTGATATCGTGTGGAAATGATGGGAGAAACCAGACCAGAAAGAGCAGTGGAACAGAGTGGCTTCCAGAAACAAAGCCATGAATAATTAGAAATTTAGTTGATATAGGTGGCATTTTCAATCAGTGGGAAAAGATGGATTATTGCTTATTTGTATGATCTGAATTCCCAGGTATATAGTAGAGCTGACAAGGGGAAAGGTTGTAGTCACTTCTTGGTCACAGCCAGCTACCCAGAGGGACCAAGTAGTTGAACCTGTGGGCTCAGGACCATAGTCGCAGGGGATATCAAACTCAATTGGCATAACATACTACACAAAACCTTGCTCCACCTCCTACTTTGGTGAGTATTGACTGGGATCTTAAAAGCTCGCAAGCTGCCATCTAGATGTAACAATGGGTCTCTCCTCGTCCAGAGCAAAGAAGAATGAAGAAAACCAAAAATTCATGGAAACAATTAGTCCTAGTGACTGGTACACCATCCAATCTGCAGCCTATATGACTATGAGACCAGAAGAACTAGATGGTGCCCGGCTACCACTCTCAACCCCTTGGAAGGGGATCTGTGTAGGAGATCCTTGATAGAGAGGGAGAACAATGTGGAACAAAACTCAGAATCATTTGGAAAAAAAAGGGGGTGGGGTGGGGACCAGGTTTGCTGGTCTGATAGAGCCTGGTGGAGCCACTGAGACTATGGCCCCTAGCCACCCTTCAGGTCTGGAATTGAACCCACACCTGTGGCTTTCAGCCAAACAAAAGACAGGCATATGAGTTGAACATTTACCTGAGGTATACACTCCTTGGAGAGAACAATCATGGGAGAAAGAAGGGATGCTTATGCACAGGGAGACAGCTCGGGGCAGGAGTGCATGGAGGGATGGACACAGGGAAGAAGTAACTATCAGGAGGAAGTGGGAGGGGAGCTGTTGCATTGTGGTAAACTGTGGTCAATTTCCTGAGACAAAGTGACAAAGTGTGTGTGAACTGCTATATGGAAAGTGAATTTGCTCTGTAAATTTTCACCCAAATCACAATAATAAAAAAAAAAAGTTGGATTATTACATGGTATTAACACATTTGGAAATCCCTACCTCATGCTGCACTCAAAAATACCTTTGAGTTAGATTAAATACTTAAATGTAGGAAATAAAATCTAAAATACCAGAAGAAAATACAGAAACAAATTTATAATCTTGAGTACAGACAGGTGGAGTTATTGTATTAAACCCAGATATCACAAAGGAAATATTTTGACTATATGAAATGAATCTATATAAAATTTAAAATCTGTATACTGCAAAAAATACTGTAAAGAAACTAAAAGGACAAATGATATACTGCTTGAGAAAAAAGCTTGTGGCAAAAATGAGCAGATGTTCGTAGATATTTTTAATATGTTTAGACAATAGGCAGTGAGCAAAGAGTAAAACAGAAGTGTTCTGCTCACTCATAAAGAAACGAACAGGCAATAATTCTGCCTGATGCTGAAGAGGGTGGAAGGCAATGAGCAGTCCTTCATGCTATTGATTGGAGTATAAACTTGTGGATTTGTTTTGGAGATGAATTTGCCAATACCCATTAAACTTTAAAGTGCACATTTCCTTTGATCGAGGACATGATAATATATCCTAAGGAGCTAATAGGCCAAGTATGCCGAGATAAATATGCAGGGATATTTCAGAGTGTTGTTTATAATGGCAGAAAATTGGAAACAATCTTAATGTCTTTCAGCAGAGGGGTTGGTTCAATAAATTATGATATATTTCTTACAATGACAATGAGTCATCAGGAGAGATTAAATTGATTTTTATCAATTGACATGAAAAGATTGTGATATTAAGTGCAAAAAAAAAGAGCAGGTTGTAGACGAGTATATAGTATGATCCTGTTTATATGGAAGGAAAACATATATATGTTTAATATATGCATTAAAAATTTTAGAAAGACATTCACCAGAATGTTAGAGTTATTTTTAGGGAGCAAAATTACTTGGAGTCTTTAAATTCCTTCCTATCATCTGGATATATTTTTTTAAAAATTGTAGTCATATATAAAACCAAACCCACTGCCATCGAATTGATGCCAACTCATAGCAACCCCCACTGGGCTTCCGACGTGGTAAATTTTTATGGAAGTACATTGCCCGGTCTTCCTTCCATGGAGTAACTGGTGGGTTTGAGCCACCAACCTTCTAGTTAGCAGTCAAATGCATTAGGCACTGCGCCACCAGATCTCCTTCTTCTTGTTGTTGTTATGTGCCATCGAGTTGGACCTGACTCATAGTGACCCCTCCTTGGGTTTCCAAGGCAGTATCACTACGGAAGTAGATTGCCCAATAGATTACCAAAGCTCCTAAGAGTAGGATACCAAAGTAGATTACCAAAGCTCCTAAGAGCTCCTCCTTAGTAGTCATATATAAAAAAAAACCAAACTCACTGCCATGGAGTCAATTCTGACTCATAGAGACCCCTCTTCGGGTTGCCAAGGCGGTATCTCTATGGAAGTAGATTGCCCAATCTTCCTTCTGAGGAGTGGCTGGTGGATTTGAACCGCCAGCCATCTGGTTAGCAGGCAAGTGTCTTAGCCACTATGCTACCAGAGCTCCCAACCTACCTATAAGGTAGGTATTATTATTATCATAATACCCATTTTACAGATGCACAACAGAGAGCTTAAGTAACTTGCCCAAGGTCACACAGCTAGTAAGTGCAAACCAATTCAGGCAATCTAGCTCCAGAACCCAGACTTTGGGTCACTGTGCTATACTGTGAGGTGGGCATTATGATTCTCTTGTCAGGGAGCATAAAATGGAGATTAAGAAGAGGTGAAATTACTTGTCTAAGGCCACACAGGTCATCAGGGGTGGAGCTGGTGCCCAAGCCCAAATGTGTGGATCACAAACCCAAACTCCACACTCCCAGCTCTAAGACTGCTCCTCTGGAGCCAGGTCTTTGCGCTAAGGAGAAAAGAGTGGAGGGACCTGCAGATGTCAGTGGGGCAGGCAGGGACTTTTTCCAGTCCCCAAGCGCCCCCTATTGGCAGTAAATCAAACAGCAGGGACCCGCTGAGACTGGCAGGGAACGGGTGGGAATAAGAGGGCGGAGACCAACAGAGCTGAGTCCCTTTTTCTTTTCTTCCAGTTCTCTGTGGACATTGACTCTGAGCTGGAGGAGGAGCTGCCGGCAGAGGTGGAGCTGTGGCTGGTGCTCGTGGCTGTGGGGGCAGGGCTGCTGCTGCTGGGGCTGATCACCCTCTTGCTGTGGAAGGTTAGGTGCTCAGCCCACGCCCCAGAACTCCACTCCCAGGTCTCCCGCCAGCAGACCTCCCACCAACTCTCCCTTCATTCCATGTCTCCCCATCCCATTTCCTCACTTCCATGTTACCCTCACCCTTCCCCTAGCGCCTCCCCTTGGTCTCCCCAGCTTCCAGCCTCACCCCCACCCCATCCTCACTTTACCCACAAGGGATGTTCCTGCCTGAGCTAGTGGGGTAAGCTGCAAGCTAGAAAGGGGAACCCAGGCGCTCTGGCTTCTGTCTACACTGCCATGCCGGGGGCCAGGACCCAGGCATCCAGGCTCCCAGTCCTAAGGCCCAGTTCATAAGTGCTGCTGGCAGGGATTCCCCGGCCCCCCCTGATGGTCCCCCCCCACCTGCTCCCCTCCCGCAGTGCGGCTTCTTCAAGCGAGCCCGCACTCGCGCCCTGTATGAAGCCAAGAGGCAGAAGGCGGAGATGAAGAGCCAGCCATCAGAGACAGAGAGGCTGACCGATGACTACTGAGGGGGGATGCCCCCCGCCCCTGGCCCACCCGGGTAACGACGCAGCCTCTGGGCCCTCTTCTCTGAGCCCCACAGCGACCAGGGCACTCACTGTCCTATCTGTTCCTCTTCCTTTATGGGCCTACTCTGCACCTCAACCTGTCCCCAGCACCACCCTAAAGGCAGGCCACTCTGTCCCTGAGAGAGCCTGGGGAGGTCTGGCTCTCACTAGCCCCACACTGATCTACTCAGGGACTTGGGACCCCTTCCCTGTGGCCACTTTGGTATCTGGGAATTGAAAACGGCAAGGCCAAGACTAGGCCTGATCTGTGCAGGTCACAAGGCCAATTTCCACAATGATTCTGTACCCCCGTTCCCACCCCTCAGGGAACGGAGAGGCTAGTAGCATCCCTTCTCCTCAGAACGAGCCCTTTTCCTCCAAAGCCGGGATAACAAGCAGCCTGACTGCCAGCGTTGTGTCCAGGGGAGACACCTTCCTAGCCATTCCCTCAGCAATCTCTGTGGCTGCCCCTCTGTCTCCATCTGCCTCCTCCACTCCTCTCTGCTTTTCTCAACTCCTCCTTCCTCTGGGGTCTGGGGTGGAGAACCTCGCTCGTCTTTCTGTCTTAGCACAGGGAGATGGGGTGTGTTCGAGTTGGGGGGTCCTAGTTTTGAGGACCTCTGGGTGAGGGAGGAGGAGGCTGGGCACATGTGTACTGAGGCTCTTCCTCTTCTCCCCCCAACTCCAGTGTGACTTCTTTCAGCGGACCCACTATTACCAGGTCATGCCCAAGTACCATGCAGTGCGGATCCGTGAGGAGGAGCGCTACCCACCTCCAGAGAGCACCATGCCCACCAAAAAGCACTGGGTGACCAGCTGGCAGACTCGGGACCGATACTACTGACATCCTCTCTGTTCCCACCTCCCTTCCCCCAATACCCCTTTCCTATTTATCATAAGTTAAGCCCCTGACAGTCCACAGGGGCCACAGCCCTTGGCGGGCACCAGCAGGTACAGGCACACACATTAAGTGTGCTGTCTGGCCCAGGTATCCCCCTGCAGAGGTCTGGGGTGTGGACCTGCCAGTGCCAAGCACACTACAGCCCTGGGCCCTGGATACACATGGGGTCCCACTGTACCCGGATTGTGCTTGTGGACCAGAGATGCTGCGTGGACATGCCATGCCCCCCAGCCTGTGCCAAACCAAGCCAAAGGGCCTCCATCAAAGCCAGAAGGAAAAGCCCCCAATGTGGTGACCCTTCCCTCTGTTCACACTGGATCCATCTTGAGCCATAGTCACTGGATTGATTCTTCTCTAGAGGTTAAAACTACTGACAGGGAGAGCCCACTGGGCCCCCAACTGCAGCTCCCCAGCACCCAGGCCAGAGAGCTGGAGGTCCTGCCTCAGGTGGTCCAAAGGGACGTCTGCTGGACCTGGCATAGACCTAAGAACAAAATGAACTAGAAAGGTGCCCAGGATGACTTTCTGTCATAGGTCCCTGTGAAGCCTCTCTCCTTGGCCACTGACTGAACTAGCAGGAGATGCAGCCTAGAGGAACAAGGACAGACAAACCACTGGACAGCCTGGACACACGGTGCAGAGACTTCCCTGGGGAAACAGTGGAATCCTCAACAGAGAGGTTGAGACCAACCCCTGACCCAGGAGATGTTGGAAGGAGATTGGAGAGCTAGCCCTTCTGACCTACCACTACCCTTCCTGCCTCCTGAGGGCCTGGAGAGTTGCCTGCAAGGTCACAGAGGGAGTGACGCATGAATGTAGAACAGGGGGGGAGCCCTGTCCCTACCCCAGCCAGCCAGCCTCATTCTGACCACAGGCTGGGGGCCTAGAGGTGTTCTTGACTGTCCTTGGCTTTCAGAGCCAACCTAGCTCTGCTCACCTCTTCATGGGCTGCATCTGGGAGGCCTGTGCTAGGCTGGTTCCAGAAAACCTCTCCTGACCCCTGCCTATTGGCTGGCTCATTCCCCAGCCCCACCCCCTTCCACGGTACTGTAGCAGGGGAGCTCCTTCCCCCTCCTTGTGCCTTCTTTGTACATAGGCTTCTCACAGCAACCAATAAACAGCTCCCAGTTTGTACCTGTTGCATCTGCCTCCTGCACCCTCCCCTAGTACCAGCCCTATTTGATTTGCATGGCTAGGTAGGTAGTGGTATTGCCTAGCTGACCTCAGGTGAAAAAAGGCAGGTGCTAGGGTCTTGGGGAGGGGGAGACACCAGCTGTTGCTCTCAGGGAGAGCCCAGTGTAAGGGATGGCCAGAGACCCAATAACTGAGACCCAAACATAAAGAGGGCAAAAGAAGACCTGATTAGTCTGGATGGGATCAGGAAGGGCTGGTCTTGGGAAGAGCAGGGAGGGACAGAGCTGGTGGTGTATGGGGTAGGGAAGAGACAAGCTAGCTACTGGGCTGTAGAGACAGGAAGTCCTGACCAGTGGGGGAGGTACGTTGAATGTAAGGGTGGAGTGAAGAGAATTCAGTTGAATCTGAGTAGAAGAGACTGAATTTGGATGAGAACCTGGTTCCTGCCTCAGTTTCCCCATCACTAGCCCTGTGTACCTTGTTGAGTAGATCAGGTGCACCAGTGAGCCAAGGCTGGAAAGACTGGAAGATCATACGATTTGTAGGCTCCATCCCCCTGGCCTCTGGTAGGATGTTGTAACCTTAGTCTTTTGGGAGCTCCTCCAGGAGTATTCCAATACTGAGTCTACATAGGCCTCCTATCTGCTGGCTTGCTGTCCCAGCCACATGGCAGCAAGACTAGACCCTCTCACCACAGCTCCTTTCCCTCTGGGGTTTGTCTTCCCTTAGCTTTTGCAGTTGCCCCTCAGCATGTGGGCTGCCTTTGGTTTGGATCAGCCTTGCTTTGCCTCTGGCCACTTGCTGGAGCAGCTTCCTCCTCTTTGATGAGGTTCTCTCCTCCACACAGGCCTGGAGGATGGCGCAGTGCTGCTCTGCAGTGACTGACTTGCCCTAAACAGGCCACAGGTCCTTCTATTAATTTCCCTCACTTTGGGCAAGGCTTCACTGAAGTCTGGAAATTACTACCCAGAGAAGTCTGGAAGGGGATCCTAGCTTTAGTCACTCTCAAGCCCCTCTCCAGGGCTCATTCTGGTGTCTGCTCTGTCCCTGCTTCACTGTGGCAGCTGTCTGCCTTCTAGCCCCTAGACCCCACCTCCCAACAGATCCCTTGGTTCAGTGGTCAGCACTCTCCTTCCCCACCTGCCCCTCATTTCCTATCCTGGGATTTGACCCTTCCCAGGATGAGTGACAGTGGAATTTGCACTTCTTTCAGGAAGACCCCTAAGGAGCTCGGGTGGCATAGTGATAAGGCACTTGACTACTAACTGAAAGGTCAGTGGTTCAAACCCGCCAGCCGCTCTGCGAAAGGAAAACAGGAAGACAGGGTGATCTTCTTCCGTAAAGAAAGGACTCAAAAAAGAAAGGATTCAATGACAATGAGTTGTGAGTGAGTCGAGAAGAGCCCAGCTCCTCTCCAGAGAGGCAAGCACTCAGAACCCAATGATGGGAGACCTCCATTTGTTCCCAGAATGTGGGTCATTAATTCACTCAGAAACATACCACACATGGATCCTCAAAGTCCACCTTCACTTCTCTCTTTTTTTTTAATTGTGGTAAATATATATATAACAAAAGTTGATGTTTCAACATTTTTTACATGTACAATTTAGTAGCATTAATTACTTTCATCATGTTGTATAGCCATCATCACTCTGTGTTTCCAAAATTTTCCATCACTCTTAACAGAAACTCAGTGCCCCTCAAGGAATGACTCCCACTCCCTCCAGCCCCTGGTAATCACTAATAAATTCTGGTCACTATACCTCTGCTTATTCTAGATTTTTTATGTAAGTGGGATCATGCAATATTTGTCCTTTTGTGCCTGGTTCATTTCATGTAGCATGTGTTCAATGTTCAGCCACATCGCATGTATCAAGACTTCATTTTTCTTTATGGCTGAGTAATGGTCCATTGTGTGTATACATTTTGATTACCCATTCATCTGTTGATGGACTTTCAGGTTGTTTCTACCTTTTCAGTACTGTGAATAGTGCTTCAGTGAACGTTAGTGTACAAGTATTTGTTTATATCCCTCCTTTCAAGTCTTTGAGTGTATCCTTAGAATTACTGGATCATGTAGTAATGCTATGTTTAACTTTTTGAGGAACAACCAAACTTTTCCACAAGTCCTATTCTTTACAGTCACTTTTTTTCCCCCAATTACCATCCCCTCTGGTGCCCTGTGGTCAACTGCTCCAAGGGATGCATCTCCATAGAGTATGTGGGTGTGTCACTCTGGCTTGAGTGGTCTGTGTGTCCCAGGCCTGGGACATCCATTCAGCTGTCTCCTGCTGTGAAGACTTGTGCATAGTTCAGCACTCATCACACTCTGCTGTAACTAGTTATTATGTAGCTATCTCCCAAACTGAGCCCTAAGGAAAGACTTGTCTTAATCCTGTTTTCCAGGAAAAAGTCTCACACACTTTAAAAACCAGTTGCCGAGGGGACGATTCTGAATCATGGCGACTCCAGTCATGTCAGAGGAGAGCTGTCGCCATAGGGTCTTCAATGGCTAGTTTTTTTAAGTAGCTCACTAGCCCCTAGTCACCTAGTCGCTAGTCACTAGGCACCTCTGGGTGGACTTGAACCCTCAACCTTTGGCATTTGATAGATGCAGTTGAAAACAACCAGAGGAAAGATGGCATACAAGTGTTGGCCCTTCACCCAACCCAACCAAAACCAAACTCACTGCTGTAGACTCGGTTGTAACTCAGCGACCCTATAGCGACGCTATAGAGTAGAACTGTCCCATAGGGATTCCAAGGCTATAAACCTACCTCAGCAGATTACTACATCTTCCTCCCACAGAACGGTTGGTGAGTTCCAACTGCTGACCTTTCCGTTAGCAGCCCAGCGCTTAAGCACTGCGCCACCAGCGTTCCTTCTGCTTGGCCCAGTACAGGTTATACCACATTGGATCGCAAGAGGGCGCAGTTCATTGCTTACCGAGAGGTGGGGCTGCAGGGAAAGGAGGAACCAAGGAGGCCAGAACCAGCACCTGCTCCCGGCCGCCCACAGCACGATTCACCTCCCGGGACCTCTCTCTGAGGAATCTCAGTGCGAAGAGGGCTGCTTTCTCAGATAGATGTCCAAGGATTTCTGTTGAGTCAAATGAACTAGATAATAGTGCAAATGAAGATGTTTTGAAAACCACACACAGCACTGATGTTAGCTGCTGCCTCCACCGCTGCTTGTTGTAACGGCTTTGACTCGGTGTTTTTAAACTGGAAAAGCAAAGTACCACCTTCTTCTGAGATACCTGGATCTTTGTGGAAGTAGATGGGCCGCTTGCATCCTGCTTCCAAATTTTGCAAATATTCACAGTCTGGGTCACTGTCATCGAAACTGTCCAAGAAATCTGATTGTGGGAAGGCTGAGCAGAGGCTAGGGATCCACAAGACCCTCTCAGAGAAAGTAGGGAGAGATCAGGACAGGTGAAACAGGTACCTTTGGGAGGAAAGAGTTTCTTTGAAAGCTACCAGACAGTTCAGGGAAGGAAATGGTTAAAATGAGCCAGCAAGCGGAGGAGATTTGGGGAGGAAACAAGGGAAAGGAAGGTGGGGAAAAGAAAGTAACAAGATTAAGGGGCCTCTGGAAAGAAAGGGGTTAACCCAGGCTTACCCTAGAAGGAAAGGGAGGAGTTAAATGGATCAAAGGCGGACTCGCCTTAGAGCTCTTCAAAACAACAGGCCGCCCGGGGCAAAGACGGGGTTAAGGAGGCGGGCCCAGGGGGAAGCCACGTGCCGAGGCGAAAGCTTATTGGTTCTCCCGTAGTTGTTTGTGCATGGCCATTGGCGACGTCGGAGCGCCTCGAGGAGCCCGGTTGGCTGTAGTTTGGAGGCCCCTGCTAGGGCAGGGCTTGGAGTGCTGGCGTCCGAACCGCGTAGCTGTGCCCGCCTGGACCCGGCAGGGCCGAGCCGAGCGCGAGCACTGCGCGTGCAGTGACGGATCCCTAGCCCGAGCTGCGGCCGCCGCCGCCATGCGCTGGGTTCGGGCGCTGCTGAAGAATGCCACCCTGGCAGGAGCGCCCAAATACATCGAGCACTTCAGCAAGTTCTCCCCGTCCCCGCTGTCCATTAAGCAGTTTCTGGACTTCGGTACGGAGGGGGCGGGAGGCAGCTGGCACCGAGAGGGGTAGCCAGGGCATGGTTGGGGTGAATGAAGAGGTCCCGGCAGTGAAGGATTAACGAGGAGGAGAGGCCCCGAGTGACGGAGAACGGTTGCTAGGAAGAGTGCGGGCAAGAAAAGGTTAACTAACTGGGAGACAAGGAGAGAGCTGGGCCTGAAAGGGTTATGATTACCCCGGCTGAAGAGAGACTCTGGATTGGACTACTAGTGGGAAGTGGGGGCAGTGAGAAGGAGGGGGCCAGGGTTTCTTCCTGGGCTTTGTGACAGATCTTGGAGAGCAAGGGACAGTGGGTATGTGGGAGTATTAGGGTAGGAAGACAGCAAGGTGGCATCCTGGCACTGAAGGGTTAATGTGGTGTAATGACGACTCTGAGAATGGGGAGTAGAGAGAAAATTGGGGGTGAGGTGCTGGTGGAAGTAACCAGAGTTGGGGAGGTGTAGCCATCTGGAAGGAGGAAACCTAGGTTGGGCTGGGCATGGAAGGACAGAGTGGGAGAAAACGAGGGGGCAGTTGGGGAAGGGGGCTTTTTCAGAAAAAGATGCCCACCAGGGAGGGGCTCCCTGACCAGTATAATGCCACTCACTGAAGGAGCTGTCCCCTGACTTTCCCAGTGGGCAAGGACACTTGAAGATCAAATCTGCCCCAGCCTGGCCCCCTGTCCTTGGTAGAGCAGGGCCCTAGGCACCATGAGGTGAGGCCGGACCACTTGTACCTACCCTTGGCTGCCCCTGGGTTCCTGGACCAGGTTCACCCATCACCAGGATCTGGGGATGGCCATGGGGCAGGAGCAAGACTGTGCTAATGTGGCAGCGGTTGAAGCAGCCATTGTACGGGCCCTGCCTGTCCACGTGGTATTTCCATGGTGCCAGCTGGAAGTTGGGAGGGAGTTCCCAGGTCTCTGAAGGAGCCCTGACCGCACAGTGGTTCAAGCACCTAGCTACTAATCTAAAGGTCAGCAGTTTGAATCCACCAGGTGCTCCACAGGAGAAAGATGTGGCAGTCAGCGTCCATGAAGATTTCAGCCTTGGAAACACAATGGGGCAGTTCTGTTCTGTCTCCTATAGGGTTGCCATGAATCAGAATTGATTGGACAGCAGTGGATTTTCGTTTTATATGGCCCAGGTCTTCGAAGAGTTGAGGAGACAGTGCCTTTCTCGGGTTACAGCTGCGTCACTGACGGGAGGGGGTGGGGAGGTGACAGCCAGAACACAAGGGCACCTGTTTCCCAGGACTTACTCGCCCACCCCCTGGCCTGTTTGAGTCTTGAGCTGTTCCTGTACAGGAAAGCCTCTTGAGCCCACTACCAGCCCCAGCAGCTGTCCAGCCCAGACTGGGCCTCAATAAGAAAATGTCACAGCTCACATCAGAGCTCAGCTCATTCTCGTACGGTGGGAGAAATGGAAACTTTCAGGATGGTGGCACGATATAAATGACTGAGGTAGAAGCAGAGCCTGGGCTAGAACTCAGGTCTCTTGATTCCAAGCCATGGCCTTATTTAGTCCTCCATGTGCACATTTCTTGAAGCCAGACCAAGGTGTTTGGGCTACCATCCTTGGGCTCTGTTTGCCTTGCATGGGGGCCTTAATGCAGGGGCCCACTCTGCAGTGGGCCAGCCAGGGCCAGCCTGGGTGAGGATGGGCTGGGCACCCTGAGCTGCAGTGATCCCGGCTCAGCTGCCTACCCTGGGTAGTGATAATTTCCCAGGCTCCTCTGCTTACCTGGATCAGTCCCTTAAAATGGGTGTCTATTGGGAGGGAGGGAAAGAGAAGAGTAAGGGGACTTAGGCCAGAGGCAGCTCCAAGTAGACCTAGGGAAGGCCCTGCCCCCCATAGTTAAAGGTTCACCTGGTGGTGGGGAGTGGATGCAGCCCCCTAGAGGGTTAGACAGGTGGACAGAGGCTTGGGCGGACACTCAGGGGAAAAGGAGACCTTTGTTTGCAACAAGCCCTTGGGCAGGTTACTTCCTCACTGAGCCCTAAGTACATGAGCTTGACTGACCTGTCCCCGAAGATGTCCTCTGGCTCCGCTGGTTTGCAGTTCTTGGACTCACCCTTCTCTCCTCCCCTCAGGGTCCAGCAATGCCTGTGAGAAAACTTCATTCACCTTCCTCAGGCAGGAGCTGCCTGTGCGCCTGGCTAACATCATGAAGGAGATCAATCTGCTTCCCGACCGGGTGCTGAGCACCCCGTCCGTGCAGCTGGTCCAGAGCTGGTAAGACCCCTGGTTGGGGTGCTGCCCCCCCACTCCATCATCAGCCGCCAGGGACGGGGTTCCATGGAGGCCCAGGGGCTCCGAGAGGCCAGGGGGTTGCCCGATGTCACATGGGACTCCTAAGCAGAGCAGGGACTGAGATCAAGCCCCTTTGCTCCAGCATCTGTGGAACGGACGCCTTACGTTTACTGTCCTCCTTTCTCCAGGAGCCCAGCATCCGGAGTTTTGGTGAAAATCATAAATCCATTGCTGTCAGGGCCATTCCGACTCATAGCGACCCCCATTGTTTTTCTGAGGTGGGAAGTCTTTTTTTTTTTTCCTGAGGTGGTAAATCCTTATGAAAGTAGATTGTCTCCTTCCATGGAGCAGCTGGTGGGTTTGAACCACCAAACTTCTGGTTAGCAGTCAAATGCCTTAGACACTGCCACTAGAACTCCTTTTGGTAAATCATGGTTTTGCCAAACCCTGGGAAAAATCATAGCTTTCAGAGCTAAAATCCCAAAGCAGAGTCACGTCAGCATTAGCCACCAGACCTGCTGGTGTGAGGTTTTGCCTTTGCTGGGTACTATTTTCTAGGATACTTTTAAGGAAGTAGAGAAACAAGAAAATGTATCCAGTGAACAAATTATATAATCCAAGCTATCTCTCAGACTGCTCTAGATGTTGGAACACACTCAAATAGACACAGGGATGGCGCAGCACCCAGCCAAATGGCTTAGGAGGGCAAAGACCAAAGTTTAATGCGTGTAGTGGCCATAACAGAGAAGATGCTCAGGACAGTTCCCTTAACTCTATCCAGAGTTAAGTAATAAAATGACATTAGCCAATGGCCAGACACACAAGGAAGCAACGAGCATTTGCCGCATTGACTGGGTGTAGGAACAGCTAATACTCATCACTCTAGTGGCACTCACTCAGAAATCTGCCAGCTCTTCTAAACTTGTGGGATGGTGTGGCTGTGGTTTTGCTTAGATTCAGGACCGTGTACTTAGACCTACTTTGAGCCCAGCACTGTGGCAGATCTAAGAAAACAGCAGCAGCTACCCTTGGGGAGGCCGGGATCCCAGAGGGAGAACACAACTCCTCACCAAGGCAGGGGAGCTAAGTGCCACATAGATAGTGGCAGGATCAGTGAACTGCTGAAGAGCCAGTTTCCTTTAAATTAAGAATTAAAATAGTATTTAAGAATAATTTAGGGGTGGTTTTCTCATCATGGAAGTATAACATGTTCACTTTGACATTTGGAAAACACAGAACGTGCAGATAGAAAGAAACGCCAACCACCACCTTCCACCCCATCACCAAACTCTTTTTAGGTATCTTAAGATTTTATTGGTGCTTTCCAGCATTTTCTCTGTGCATGAGCCTGCATATAAATGACTTCTTTTAATGAAACAACATGAGATAAAGTTTCACTTGCAAGGCCAGGCACGTGTTAGGTGCAAAATGAACATTAGTGAATCAGAAGTTGCAGGGGAGTTGAAATAGGTGAGTTGTCACTGGGCCTTATGGGGCCTTACGTGAGCCACAGACCAAGAAGGAAGGAAGGAAGATTCCAGGCTAAAGGAACCGTGTATGCAAAGATATGGTGGCAGGAAAGGGCCTACTGTGGTGTCTGAGCACATAACTTTGTGGTCACAGTGCTGTTAGTGTAGCAGTAAAGACGGGTCAGGGGACAGAGGGCCGAGCTTCCTTTTCGTGAAGCCCAGCAGGGAGGGGCCCGCCCCTCAGAATTCTAGGATCCCTGAGCCAGTCAACAGTTCCCACCACAGGGTGCTGTGGAAGTCACGAGGAGGAGACAGAAGGTGCCATCTGTTCTCCTCAGCCTTCCTCCAGCTCTGTCCGGCTGACTGACCTGGCCGCCTCTCTGGCTGGTCCCTGTCCCCAGAACAGGGCTTCTCAGGCCCCTCCCTGGACATTGTGTTCCTGGGAGAGTTAAAGGTGGGAGTGGAGCTGTTGACCGACAGTGGCTCCCCCAGGGCCTCCAGGGCCCCTTCTTGAAAATAAGTCACACCTGTGGGGCTTGGCCTAACTTACTCTTTCCTCAAAGCTTAAAAGTGATGTCAGGCAACAGCAGGAGGCAGCAAAGTTAGGCAAAGAGCGAGCACTTTCCAGGGGTTGATTCAGCTTTGAGGAGAGCAGTCCAAAGACTGCTAAATACTGAGTGTTCCAACACACTGAAGAGACACCCTACTGAGGGTGCTTCCAGAGATAGTGGGCATTGGCTGCAGCAAGAGAGACTAAGGTTTGAGGGCAGGAAGGACTTCCTGACAAGCTCATGGTGGCTGTCTCCTAGAGAAACCCCTGCTAGCTTGGATGATAGAGGAAGTGGAGATGGACATGGTCTGCACAAGAGGCGGGGGGTGGCTCTCCAGGGCCTGGCAAGTGGATCACTAGCCTCAGAGTCTGATGAACAGAAAGAGAACCTCCCTTCAGGAAAGACACAAGTCCTACACCAATGCTAGTGTTAGCAGTGGAAACAGTTAATATGTGGAATGCTGTTTCCACTCAGCTGGGGAAAGGTTCTAGGCAAGAGTCACTTTCGGCCAATGAGAACTCCTGGTTCTAACAAGGAGCTCTGGTGGCGTAGTCCTAAGGCATTTATTTGACTGCTAACCCGAAGGCTGGTGGTTCAAACCCATCAGCCACTCCTCGGAAGGAAGACTGGGCAATCTGCTTCTGTGGAGATAACTAACCAAACTCACTGCTGTCGAATCGATTTAACTCGTAGTGACCCTCCTTGGGTTTCCGAGGTGGTATCTCTGTAGAAGTAGATTACCCCATCTTCCTTCCAAGGAGTGGCTGGTGGGTTTGAACTGCCAGCCTTCTGGTTAGCAGTCAAATGCCTTAGGCACTACGCCACCAGAGCTCCCTTCCCTCTGTAGAGATACCACCTCAGAAACCCAAGGAGAGGTTGCTATGAGTTGGAACTGACTCGACGGCAGTGAGTTTAGGTTTTTTTTGTTATAGTGCTAAATAAACCTGATACCTCATTTCAGCTGGACAGACTTGGGGGAGGAGGACCTTGTGTTGGAGGTGACTGGAGGGTGGTAGAAAGCTCCGAGCTTGAAGTTGGCGTGTTTGGTTTTGAGGCTCTCCTGCAGCCCGTGGCAGCCCTGTGTGTCAGGGTAGAACTGCGCTCCACAGGCTGCTCAGTGGCCGCTCTTCAGCAGTAAACCACCAGGCCTTTCTTCCCAGGTGCCCCTGGGCGGGCTTGAACCTCCCACTTTTCAGTTGACAGCTGAGCACATTAACCCCTTGCACCAGTTCTTCAGCAAACCAAATGGCCTTTCTGACCCTCAGATCTGTCATCTATAAAATGGGAAGCAATTCCCTTGCTAAAGGCCAAATGCCACTGCTAGATGGGCAAGTGGGTGGAATTCTTCAAGCACAAGTGGTGTCCCTGGGCTTCTGGGCAGCTGCACCCACAGGCCAGTGATGATGTCATTGCATCATTGGGAAGTGTCTATTGGGCAACAAAGTAATAACTATAGTGATGATGTCAACAAACAGACACACCTTGAGGGCCTGCTGTGTGTCAGGAACTGGTCTAAATGTTTTTATGTATTTGCACACTTAATCTTCACATCAGTGTTATAAGTCTTATTACTATTTTTACTTCAGATATAAAGAAAATGCAGTAACTTGTCTATATAAAATCACTAAGGTAGAGTTAACATTCTTTGTTTTAATTTTTTATTGTGATTTGGGTGAAAGTTTATAGAGCAAATTCATTTTCCATACAGCAGCTCACATACACTTTGTCTCATGACATTGACTACAATTTCCCACAATGCAACAGCTCCCCTCCCACTTCTTCCCCATACTTACTTCTTCCCTGTGCCTTTCCCTGCTATGCACTCCTGTCCCCTGAGCTGTCTCCCTGTGCATACACAGCCCTTCTATTCTCCCATGATTGTTCTCTCCAAGGAGTGTAGCTACCTAGTATAAATGTTAGCTCATATGCCT